AGGCCGACTGGATGGCCTCGTCGAGGCGCTCGGCGGGCGGCACTTCGGGGACGAGGCTCGGGTACATTTTGTGGAGGTCCGTGATGACCTTTTCGAGGTTCTCGCGGCTGTTGGCGGTGGGGTCGAGCTGGATGACGTTGTCGAAGCCGTTGTCGGGCGGCGAGAAGGCGGCGAGGGACTCGAAGCGGCTGATGAAGCCCTCCATGACGTCGAGGAACTTTTTGGCGTCCGTGGCGGCGTGGATCGTCTGGTGGTTGTCGCCGCGGGCAAGGACGCGCTCCTGGGTGATACGGCGGACCTCTTTGATGTTGCTTTCGTCAAGGGCGAAGTAGAGCGCGACGAGGCGGGCCGTCTGGTGTTGCGCCTTGACGTCGTTGAGGATCTGTTTACGCTCGTGCTTCTGGGCATTGTTGCGGTCGGCGATGACGACGGGGTGCTCCTTGAGCAGGTCGAGGACGGCCTTGGTGAAGCGCGGCGGCCGGCCCTTGCCCGAGATGTTGTCGTTCTGAATGTGGCCCCAGTTAAAGAGGTGCTGCAGGGCGACGGCGATGGTGGTCTTGCCACAGCCAATGGTGGCGATGGGCACGAGAATGACGTCCCGGGCGACGTCGTTGTCGACGTTGGCCGGCTCCTCGAGCTCGAGGTTGGCGGCGTCGGAGCCCTTGATGTTCTTGAAGGCGAGGAAGTCGTTGCGCAGCGCGATGATGCCGTGGTTTTGTTGGTAGAGCTTGGCGAGTTCTTTATCGGCCTGCAGACGCCGGCGGGCGTACAGGAGGTACTCCTCGGTGATCTTGACGTGCTTCTTGTAGCGCGGCGGCTTCCCCGTGATCATGGCCTTTGTGCACTCTCTCCACTGGCGGTACATGAGGTAGGGCTCCTCGAACTTGTACTTGAAGAACCAGTCTCGGTAAGGCTCCGACTCGGGGGCGTGGCTCTCCTTGCAGCGGATGACGAAGCCCTCGACGTCGCGGTCGCCGTAGGCGCCCGTCTCGGCCACCCCCTCGAGGAAGGACTTGACCTCGTTGACGTCGTCCATGATGATCAGACCCACCTGCTTGAAGCCCCAGGCGTCGCCAAAGCTCTGGACCAGGGCGCTGGGGTAGGTGACAAACTCGGGGAGGTTCAAGTTGATGCCATGGATGTACAGACCTGCCTTGTCTGGGCCGTACTCGAGGATGTGCTCCTCAAAGGAGTCGTCGCACAGCTCGGCCACCGCCGTCGCGTTGCGATCCCGCAGCTCCCTCGCCAGGTCCTCCTTCGTCTTGCCCAGGGCAGCCAGCTGCTTCTCGATCATGCGCTCTCCGGCTATGGCATGGCTGATCTCCGAGTCGCCCCTCTCTCCTGTGGAGTGCTTGCTGCAGACCAAGAGGGATCCGTCCTCGAGGCCGGAGATGAAGATGATGCAGCCGTTCTCCTTGAGAGTGAGCTCGTAAGGCCCCTTTGTGCGGGCGAGGATGTTCTCCCACTTGGTCTTGTGCACCTCGCCAACGTTGAAGAACTTGTCGTAGCCGCGCACCACGATTTCGGGCTCGTTGAGGCGGTTCTTTGTTGTGAAGAGGCCCCGGGCGTACGTGGGCAGGCCCTGCCTCTTGTAATCCCACTCCTGCATCTTCCACGAGTCGACAACGACGCCGTCCTGAGAAGTCTTTACGTCGAACGACGTTTTCTTGCAGGAGAAGCCCCCGCCCTTGGATTTGCTGAACTTCTTCGCGCCGTCCAGCGCGCGCACCATGCTGGCGACCTTCTCGACGTCCTGGGGGACGTAGGGGGCCTTGGGCATGGCCCCCTCTGCCGCTATTGTTGTTGCCATGGTTCTGGAGAGGATGTGAGATTTTGTGGCTGGAAGAGTGAGTGGAGATAGTCTAGTAGTGAAGAAGAGAGCCCGGCGGGCAATGGACATGGAGAAGGGCAGACAAGCGTGGCTGTTGTCTGTTTGCTGTCCGTCTTCTCTATCTGAAGAGAGAAAAGGGTGTGTGTGGCGGCGGTGGTCTCACTCGAATATCGATTGGCCTTTGGAGGTTGAGACGATGTTTTTGTTGTTGAAAGGATTGCAGCCTAACCCGAGATATATCGAACTACACCGGGACACAGGGGCACAGACGGGGGGGGAGTGAGTCACTTCACCAGCTCCTGTTGGATCCGTCTCGAGCGGCCTCAACCAAGAAATGGAGAAAAAAGAGTCGTCGGTGAGAATGAGCAAGCAAAGTCAGTCACACCGGCTTCTGAACACAAGGGGGAGGGGTGCGAGCTTCTACCTGCTGCTATTGCTGCTGCGTTTGTAGGGTGATCAGATAAAGTGGCGTTGCTCGACAGATTAGGCTACCTAAGCCTTGGAGGGGCACAGTCGAGCTGGTTCCAGGGCACTTGTCTCTAATAGAAAGGCGGTGGGATGGTTTTGGCGGGGGGTTGTGCGCCAGGCCAGGGCCGGAAGCTCCCCCCCCCCCGCATGGCAGAAAATTTCCCACTGGCATCGCATCGCATCGCATCGCATCCGTCGAACGCCGACCGGTTTTCAAGCTCAGACACCATCCAACTGCGCCACTGTCGAATTTGGCCTCAATTCTCAACTTTCTACCAGATACGAACCCCCTTGATCCCTCGAGCACCCAGACACCAAAGCCACCGAACCAACAATGGGGCCCAATCCGTACCTCCTCGCCGCCGACAACCCCGCGGCCCTGCTCACGCTGCTCCGTGAGAACCCCGCCATCGCCTCGGGCCAGGATGAGCACGGTTACTCGCTCGTCCACGCCGCCGCAAGCTACAACCACCTGGAACTCCTGCGCGCCCTGGTCCGGGAATTCGGAGTCAACGTCGACCTGAGGGACGAGGACGACGAGACGGCGCTGTTCGTCGTCGAGACCGTCGATGCGGCCAAGTGCCTTGTCGAGGAGCTCGGCGCTGACATAGCCACCAAGGGCGCCGACGGCATCACCGCCAGCCAGAAGATCGAGGCCGAGGCCGACTATCCTGAAGTCGCCGAGTACCTCAAGGGCGTCGAATCCCAACGGACCGCCGACGCCACTGCTGCTGCCGCCGCCGCTTCAGCTGGCACTACCGAGGGCAACGCCAAACCCATTACAACCGCCGACACCGCCGCGCCGCCCGTCGAGATGCCACCCGTCCCGGAGGGCCTCGCCGTGACGCTCGGCACTATGGACCAGGTCGACGAGGTCCCCGAAGAGGTCGATCCCGAGTTCAAGCGCCGGATAGAACAGCTGGCAGAGAGGGAGGACTTCCACACCCCCGAGGGCCAGGCCGAGCTTCGTCGTCTCGTCGAGGATGCCATTCTCGACCAGGGCTTGGGCGATGAGCGTAGCGTGCGCCAAAAGCAGGCTTAGAGGCCGAACAAGGAAAAAGAGAAGCTATTTTTTTTTAATTACTCGTCGCCTTTGATTTCCCAAAACAAGTAGTGGCCGGGAGACGCAGGCGGGCGGAGGAACGCGACCTCGGCGCTGTCGCCGGCCATGCCCTTGGAGAAGGAGGTCGCGCTGAGAAAGACCCAGGTCCGCGAGGGCAGGGCGACGAGGGCGTTGATGAGGACGCCACGCACCCACTCCGGAGTAAAGAAGCCCTGCCACGTGATCTTGCAGACTCTCGAATGTGACGGGGCGTCGCCGTCGCCGGGGACCTGGTAGCGTGAGAGGTACGGGTCGATGCTGTCTCCGGCCTCGACGCGGGGGCTCTGCAGACGGATGAGAGACAGCCACTCGTACGTCTCTGTGGCAAAGTCCTCGAGGCTGGGTCTGTCGCCGTTCTGGATGATTTCGCTGGGGACTGCCAGCGGTGCCGTTTGGACATGCATGTCGGCCACGAGGTTGGGGTTGCAGGTGTACCTAGTCGGGAAGTACTGGTCCAAGGGGTCCGGCGACGGCGCTGGACAATGTTAGAATTAGCTACTAGTAGAATAGAGCGCGCCTGGCGACGGCTTACCAGTAGTTGTCGCATTGCAGAATAACCACGTCACGGGCGTGTTGAGGACGTTTTTGCATGCGTAGAGGAGCCTGTCGAAACCCTTTTTGCCGTGAAACATGGACGGGTCTCGCAACTGGTAGCTCACAACTAAAAAGGGGCGAGGGGTCAGTACTGTACTGCGGATGGCAGTGAAGAGACACATGTCCACTCACCCCATCTCGGCTTCATGCCTCTCTTGCCCTTGACACCGTGAGGCTTCCCCACCAGGCCGGCGCGCTCGTACGTCTCTTTGTCGAGGTACATGGTGAGCAGACCCTCGCGGAGGGAGAAGACGTTTTCCACGGTTGTCCTGCCCTCGGAGAGCATGAGGACGTTGCCTGTTGGGGTCAGCCGCCGTGCAACGCTACGCCCGTGACGCGCAACCGACCTTTCTTGATGTACTCGTTGAAGAATGCCCCGTTCAGCACCTGGCCGAGAGTCATGATGACACGGTGGAACGTGGGCGCTGCGAGCTCCTCAACCAGCTTTTGGTGGACGGCTTCATAACACTCCTGAGGCAGGATGAGGTCGACCTGCAGATGTCAGTCAGAAATCGTCGCACAGCATGTATAGCATGAAAACGAACCTTGTGGTTGAACCCCTGGGCCAAGATAGGCGCCCACGGCTTGCCCTTGGTGGGCAGCTGCTTGGGCTCGACGTGGGCCATGGTGCCGTACGTGACGAAGCATTTCGGCGCCTGGTAGACGCTTGGAGCAGGGAGCGACAGCATGGCGTTTTTCTTTCACGTTGACCACGTTCTCGGCCAACACAGACTGTCGTCGCTTTCGCCGGTTGATTTTAAAGTCCAAGCCGATACGGGAAAGAGAGATAGAGAGCGAGCTCGACATGGCAAAATCGAGAAATGGCATCTGGATCCGCTAGTCGTACGCCAGCCGTTGAGAGATGTACCCGCTTTGCTGGTGCGACCCCTGCCTTGTGCCGCCTGCTGCCGCCATCGCTTCGCGCACCCGGGCGTGCGCGCATATGGCTGTGGCCCTGCGACAATGCCGCCTCTGGCAGCGCCTTAAAGCCCACACACAAACCCGCCGAGTCAGCGGGAGACGACTACGATTACGCAAGGCAAACAAACTCCTCTCATACCATCACTAGAATTGAGATGGTGAAGCTCTGAAGTCATTATAGGTTGGAAGGATTCTAATTGAGCATCGTGAGTCGAACGAGAATGAAGCCAGAGGATTGAGTGCGTGCATCTTGGCTAACACGCCAAACAGACCAAATACATACACAGCGCAAAACGAGGGGCACTTTTCGCCCACCCCGCGCTCTAAACCAGGATTTTTTCTTTATCGATTGCCCCTCCTCTCACCCCCCCGTTGCCCGAGTACACGGCTTAGCGCGGCGACGAAGACGCCGCCGACGACGACGACGACGAGGAGCCCGCGATGGAGTACCTCGTGCGCTTCTCCCAGGCCCATGAGTCCTTCCGGCTCCCGGAGCTGCAGGCTCTCGCCGACCTCGAGGGGATCGACATGAAGGTCATCGAGTACAGCCCTGATGTGAGTTTTCTTCTGTTACATACGTTTCTGGGCGGTCTTGAGTGAGCCCTGGATTTGTTCGAGCATTACAAATGGCTGCTTGAAAACGGTTGTTTTCGCATCTGTAAATCATGGAACAATCCAATCACGTTTTCTGTTGTCTTGTACTTCGAATGTCGGGTTACGGAATACCAACAAGCACTTGCTCTCTCTCACTCGCATGCTCTTCTAATGACTTTCTTTCACGAGCCTCACTCCTCACCTCTCACCCCTGACCCGTCAACCCCCTTTCCTCATCATCGCAATCGCAATTCTCACACCATCTCACAAAACAACACCGCGACAGACGACCTCCGGCCCGGCTAACACGACCACAGTCCCCCTTCTGCATAATCACCCTCCCCTCCCCCTCCGACGCCCCGCGCCTCATCGCCCGCTCCCTCCTGACCCAGTCGATCCACCGCCTCATCGCTTCGGCGCCCTCTCACGATGCCCTCCACGAGGCCGTCAAGTCCTCTCTCGACGCCCCTGGGCCCACTTCCTTCGACTGGCCCTCCGTTGCCGCAGCCCGCTTCAAATTCTCCCTCGACTCCTACCAGACCACCCGCCCGCATGCCGACTTCGTCGCCCTTATCAACAGCTTCCGCTACCTCCCCCTGCGCGGGGGCATCGACCTAAAGTCCCCCGAGCTCGAGCTCACCATCTTTGAGGACTGGGACCTCCACGGCGCCCGCCCCAAGCGCGTCCATCTCGGCCGCCACCTCGCTGCCGGCGCCCGCCACCTCGGCCTCCGCTACGACCTCAAGAAGCGCGGGTATATTAGTACTACCTCAATGGACGCTGAGCTCGCCCTCGTCACCGCCAACCTCGCCCACGCCGCCCCGGGCCGCCTCTTCTACGACCCCTTCGTCGGAACCGGCTCATTCCCCATCGCCTGCGCCCACTTCGGCGCCCTCGCCTTCGGCAGCGATATCGACGGCCGCAGTATCCGCGGCGCCGGCGGCAACCGCAGCGTCCGAGGCAACTTTGCCCAGTACGGCCTCCTCGACCGCATAGGCGAGTTCTGGACCGCCGACCTGACGAACACCCCCGTCCGGAGGAGCAGGTGGCTCGACGGCATCGTGTGCGACCCGCCCTACGGTGTGCGGGAGGGCCTGAGGGTGCTGGGGTGCCGGGACCCGGAGAAGACGCCGTGGGTCGTCGAGGCTGGGAAGCAGCGCTACAAGTGAGTCAACGACCTCCCCTCGCTCCCTCCCTTGCCGACTCGCACTGGCCTCTCGGCCTGCTAACAAGACGCACAGGTCGGGAGACTTCATCGCCCCCAAGAAGCCGTACAGCTTCCTCGCCATGCTCGACGACATCCTCCAATTCGCCTCCGACACCCTCGTCGACGGCGGCCGCCTCTCCTTCTGGATGCCCACGGCCAACGACGAGGACCAGGAGATCCCCACGCCGCAGCACCCTCGCCTCGACATCGTCATCACGTGCGTGCAGCCCTTCAACAAATGTAAGTGTTTTCTTCCTCTTCTTCTTCCTCTTCTTCCTCCTTGCGGAACTGCTGCCCCTACCTGTACCTCTGCTACCCAGGCCCGGCTGCCTTCCCCAACACTCCCTGTTCCATCATCCTGCACACGTTGCTTTCGTTGGATCCTTTCTTGCTGACCGGTCGATCTCTTTACCCACCCTCCAAAGGGTCTCGTAGACTCATCACGTACCGGCGCATCCCCGACAGCCAGGTCGACCCTGAAAGGCTGGCCGCCTATAAGCGCACCGTTGTGGAGGGAACAACAGCAGATGAACTGAATCCTTTCCGAAAGGGTTACTTCACCAAGTTCGAAAAAGAAGAACCCCAGTCATAGAAGCATAGGAGAATGGTAATCAAGAAAAAAATATACCTCCACCCAAAGCCATGTACAGCAGAATAAAGTCGGTGCCCCGTTCATTGTTGATGCTTTGCCTCCGCCTGATAAGAAATAATGTAGATGCGGTTTGAGTGCATGTATGTGTGCCACCACACGCTCGTCTCCTTCTCTCGTTCTGTACCTAGGTATCGTGATCCTCCGTGCCGTCGCCAGGCATTGAATTATCCCTACTGATACCCAAGGCGTACCAAGGCATCATCATCATTTGATATCATTTGCAAAAATAGAATAAAACCAAAAAGCCTCATGCGTCCCAACCAGGTTATACTCCGGCGCGCCGCATAATGTTTGTTATCGCGCTCGGTGCCTCTATGGCCGGCCGAGCCCCCGTCCCCTCTTCCTTCATTTCTTCCCAATGCGACCTGGTGTCAGGGTCTCATCTGAATTCCATAGCGCCAAAGCAGCCCCTATCCTCCACGTGCTTGAGCTCAAGCTGCTGAAACCTGGTGCCGGTCGTTAGCGGACAGAAGGAAGAAGAAAAATGGGAAAAAGCAAGCAGGGCCAAGAAAAGGGTTGGGGTATCTTGATGCATTGTGCGGCGGTACATACTTTTCGCTCTTTGAGTGGAAGTAGATTCCACTCACTTCCCCTTTGACCTGGTTGAAACAGATGTAGTAGAAGCCCTCGAAACTCGCGCCGGAAATGGTGCGCACCCGGTGATCGGGGACGAGGAAATGTTCCTTCCACCGCATGAAGATGTTCTCGCGTTGTGCGACGTCACGGATCACGACCGGGCCCTTGCGCGCCTGCTTTTGGAACGGGCGGAAGGCGTTGAACTTTGCCCAGTGGTTAAGGTCGATCTTGTCGGTGGCGCCCCAAGTCTCATGGTTGGTAATAAAGCTGTATTTCGTGCCGATGATCTCACCCTCGAAGTACGTTGTCAATGTGGGGTGGTCTTCGGTGAGGCCTGCACGCGCATAAGTATAGGGTTTAGCAAACGGTTACACGACGGCCGGGAAAGCTAGCTGTTCCTCACCTTGAATTCGCAGGTATCCGCAAAGAAACGATTCCCTGAGATCGACGTGCTTAATTTCAACCTGCACGTCGTACACCTGCCGTTCGGATTGTTGCGTTCCGTGGAACTTGCTTCCAGGTCGCAAAAAGGACGACGCTGTTGATGGAATGATCTAGTTGGAACGTTAATCATTGATGCAATACACCTGTGTTGCTGGATTTGCTTACCCGCATGTTGGAAAAATCCGAGCCCATCGACGGCGCCATCAGCTCCTCTTCCCACAAGTCATTGGCGTCGAACTCCACATCCTTGTTGTCGTCGTGCGTCGACGTCGGCGATAGTCTAGGGTCACGCCGTCTGGCATCGTCCCCTCGGGACGTCCTTAGCCTCTCGCCAACCAAGTGGCTCTCGTCATCGGATTCCGTATGCTTGAACGATTCCGTATCGATCGCCGGTGACGAGTGAGCGGTGTCGCCCGACTGCGGCCTCGGCGACATGGTGGTGGATCGGGAGGAGGACGCAGCAGAGGTGTGCTCATCGTCGAGAATGGCCTCTGTGCTCATGCCCCTGGCCTGTGACATCAGGCCCCTGAGGGGGTGTAAATACGGGGTCCTGAAGTCGTCTGAAATCAGGTCGCTTCGGGGGAAGGGTGATCCGTCCTCGTCCATGCGATCGTCGTGATGGGCATCCATCTCGGAAGGGCCGTGGCTTGCATCGGTCGGCGGGCGCCAGCTGCGTTGCGGGGGTATTGAGCTGCTGTCCTCAGGACATGTCGAGAAAGTATGGGATCGGGGAGGATGTGGGTTGGAAGGAGGATTGGATGAAGGCGTCGGCATGTTGGGCGAGAGGAAGTTGGAGGTCGTGTGTCGTGGAGTGCAGCGGTGGAGATGTCGGGCGATGGGGTTCGGTCGCGTCGACCGGGAACGGCTGCGGCTTTACCGCCAGCAGGGGGTGAAGAAGAGGGCCCCGCAATGATGATAACAAGGGTGGGGTGGCGAGAGTATCTTTGAGTTCAAGCAAAGAGAGTGCTGACTGGCGTTTGGGGTGACAGGCGATGTCGCGAGTTCGTCGGCGGACTCGCTTGTGTGCGATCGCGTGCTCGAGGGAAGGCTCGGTCGAGAGGTTGCGAGGAGAGGTGATTCAGACCACTTGGAGCAATGGATGACCCAAGACACCAAGTACTTACTGTATGTTTGCAAGCAGGCAGACTATAAAAGTGACAGGCCTGCCAAGCGGGGGGGACTCGAGGAAAGGTATGGTATTTATCCGTATTGGTCGGGAAAATACTACCCCGGATATCCGCAGTAGAATATGATGGCGGGAACGCAGCGGGTGGTGAGAAGTTTTGTTGATGGGAGCAAATCGAAGCCGAGGTCGAGGCCGAGGTCGAAGCCGGAATCAAAGTTGGAGTAGTTGGAAGTATAGACGGAAGGCGAGACGAAGCTCTCTGGAGTTGAGGGAATATCGAATGCAGGGCGGGATGAGTGATGTGAGGGAGGAGAAGCCGGTCGAGGCAGACTGGGTGTGGAAGATGAAATGGAAGGGTTGCCCGCAGCAGTAGCAGGAGCAGTAACGGCAGCGGTTGGAATGGTAGAGATGGCGACCAAGGAATGGAAAATGGGACCGGGGGGGGGTGTGAGGATTGAGATTGGGATTGGGGGAAAGGGAAGGGAGACGGATGCGCCCATACGTGTACAAGAGGAGCAGAGTTAGGTAACTGAGGTAGGGAGGTATGGTATAGGACGCACGGGATACATATACCTAAGGTACTACGGATACTCAAGCAGGTAATGTACTCGTCGGAAGCGTGGAACGGGGGGAATACACGTACGTACCTAAGTAGGTAGGAATGAGAGAAAATGGGGGTGACGGGGATGGTCTGGGACGAGGGACGGGGAGGCATGGGATGGGACGGGATGGACCTGTATCGCGTTTGATTGGGTTTACTCAGTCACAGGCATGGACAGACCTGATGAGTACGAGGAAGATACTTTCGGGTTCTTTACCTGAGGAAATCTTGTTGAATAGGCATGTAGGTTGTTAGGTATAGATGGATGTTGTGTAGCAAGTCTACCTACCACAAGACTATTGTCGTGTAAGTGAATTGAACATGGTGAAATGCTCGGTTGCCATTTACAACGTCCGGCGCCGTTTAGGAACAAATGCAGGACGAGTATAAGGTGAGAGTGTAAGGCGAGGACCACCTACACCATACGGAATGCTACATGAAATGGGACGTTGCGCATTGGGGGGTGCAGTCGATGGATGCATTGCAGCCGATGACGCCTGCATGCCCTCCCCACCTTCGCAATCAATCCGAAGGCAGACAGGCAGACTGACACACACACACACACACACACACACACACACACACACACACACACACATACAGCCTACTTACTGCGTACAGGGAAGGAAGGCAGAAAAGTCAAGCCAACAGCCACATCCAGCAGTGACAGATGGACAGCGACAGATAGGCCCGTGCGGACGCGGAGACACGCTTCGTTTACCGCTAGCCACGTTGGAAGGGTCCCCCCAGCATGTGCCACTTTTGCGCTGGAAAAAAAAACAAAAAAACTCGCCCGACGCACGGCGGTTTTTGCCCCCCCCCCCCCTTCTTTCTTCATTCTTCAGTCTCCTTTCCCTCAGTGCCGTCATTGCTGTCGCTTTTGGCGCCTCGATGCTGTTACACACTAATATGAAGGTTGCGCTAACTCGGCCATGCTTGTCTCGCACGCTTGCTCGCACACGGTACGCCGAGGTAATTAGCTTCTAGCTGGCAGCATTTCACTGTGGTCGCCATCTAGTGGCTTGGAGGAACAGGCTGCCGGGCCGCAAGCGTCGCAGGGACGCTGAAAACGCATCACTCATGGGGAATCCAACGGCCTCGACTCTTGTGGCGCTGGGCATCTGATTCGTTAGCCCCGCCAACTCACTCACCTTGCTCGCACGCAATCCAAGGCTCATGCTTACATTCACACATACCTAGGTATGTTCATGCTCATGCTCATGCTCCATCAATTGTCGAAACTCGTCTTAGGCCGTACTCACTGTCTGTAACAGTCACAGCCACTGTGTCTCCCACTCGCCTGTCGCGGCTGTCGATGAACACCCACCGTACCCCGTCGCACCCACCACACCCGCCATACGTCTTATAGCCCGAAGCCACACTACCTGTCACTGCCCTTCTGTGGGAGGCATTGTGTGTATGTATGTGTGTGTGTGAGTGCCCCGTAACCTGCCGCCCTCCTCTTTTCCGCCTTCTGTAATCGTATCATCTTCCCTCTTCTCGAGGGAAAACGAGGTCAAGGCTTCCCGTGGTCGGGCTTGCGGGCTCTTCCAGCGCCCGTTTCCCCCCTCTCTCTCCCCTTCAAGGCCCTCGCGGCAGCACGGAGGATTCGGTAAGGCGCCTGAAGCCATCCGCGCTTTAAGCACAGACTGGGGCCAAACTCTGTGCTCTTGCAGCCAACTGACCTTTCTTTTGCATCAAGCCCTCAGACATTGTCCAAGCACAATCCCCCCAATCCCAAAGATGGTGTTGGTATGGTAAGTTAGGTAGGTACCGAAGGTAGAGTAGGCTACCGCTGGCAGCCTAACAGTTGAGGTATAGACTACCTAGGTACTACTGAACCGCAGGTACAGCCTTACGCAGAACTTGACTCGCTGCGGCAAACCTGTAATAAGAGCTCGGGCCAACCTTTCATCCGGCCTCTTATTTTATATTAAGCTTTGTCTTGTGACAGAGCTACGTAGTGTAGTGCACCGTCCACGGCTCAGTGAGCCTCATGTGATGGAGAATAATACCTCCGCTCGCAGCTTTCCTGTCATAAGTCCGTGAGCCCCAGTGGCTTCGCATCCTTGCTGCTCGCTCTGATGTCACCGTCTGTGGCGTTTCATCGAAAGCATTCGTCGAACTGGACAGGTCACCCCTATTCCAGGCGGAAACCCGGCACCAAAGTGTCCTTACTCTGAGCCTCCAAGGGGAAAGGGGGGTCGCGCCAAATCGCCCACCGAGGCCGTTGAACGACTGACTCTTTCTTACTTTCTTGGGCCCTGCGAGCCCGGCTAGACTTTGTCGTTTGGTATCCCGCCAGCTTCGCCATGCAATGTTCCACAACACGACTCGAGTCTTCTGCTCTGGTTGCCCTGTGCCTGCGAACCGCAACAGCTTGATTCTTGAACCCTAGTGCCATCGGCCCAAAACCTGGCTGATCTAACCCGTTACCTGTGCCGGGACTCTAACGGCGGGCCGCATGTCACCTCATGGGAACTCAAAACAAAACAAGCCACTCTTCGTCTCTCGGCCTGCCAAGTAATTACTGGGGTCCGTTGTTCATCCGCCACTTAGAATCGTGACTTCAACAAGCACTCGTGCGTGTTTATGCCGGAAAGCGAAGAAGAAAAGAGAGAGAGAAATGTATCGCGTTATGTTTTCTGACAGAGACACACGACCGGAAGCCGTGCGGTGCAGTCTCGTCCAAGTCTATCTTTCATACGGGACGACCAGCAGGACTTCTGAATTGCCCGCCTGCCCGTACGTCCGTTCGCCAGCTTGTCGTCTGAGCTGAAGGGCCCAAGAACCTCCCTCCCTCCATGCATCCAACATACGACATCATGCAATTTTCTAGAAGAAAATGGAACCATTGTCGTTCCGCAGGTCGCATGCGGTGTTTCGTCACGGTCGTTCCGTGGTCCCCCTCTCGCGAGAATCGTTGGCCAGTTGTTCCGGGTATCTCCAATTTCGTCGTCGTCGCCGCCAAATCGGGTTCGCTGCTCGTTTAGATGGGCTTGATTTTGAAGTGCAGGGCGATCAAGCTGAACACCAGCGCCTTCAGATCCTGCACCAGGTAGTAGAATACTCGGAGTCCTTCAGGGTCGGCGGATTCCGTGACATCGACCAATGAACCTATCTTGGCCGTCTGCTCGTAACACGTCAGCGCGGTTCTCTGATATCACAAAGCCGTCGCCACCCACCTCGAATGAAATATGGTCGTTGCCTAGCCGGATCTCGAGCTCTTGACGCCCGTCCTTGTTCTTCTGTGGCCACTTTGAGTCGTCTTCCCTTCGTGGCGTGTCAGCGCTGCCCCTCGCGTCATCCGCCATCAGAACCGTAGCCTTACTTCATGATCTCGCTGGTCTTGATGATGCGCTTGATCTCGTCGATAACAAGAGCGCTGACGCACACTATTCTCCCGAGTCAGCCGTATACGCGTGTCATTTCGAAGTCGTTGTCGTACTCTCTTTGCGAATCAAGCTATCGTTTCGGTAGTTGGAGTTGTTCGCGTAACGCGCAACAGCGCTTCTTCCATCGCCAAGAACGCGGAAGTCGAACTCTGAGGGCCGCCATCAGTATACATTTAGATCGAGGCATCGAGCAGTGGCGGGGTCGGTGTTACCGAGGAACTCGTGTCCGAACCGTCCAGAGTGACCGGAGCTGCGTCCAGTTAGCCCATATGTTGTAAATCTAGACGCCCAATGTCCATACTAGTATCGCAGGTAGAACTGATCGGTAGGCGCCGACATTGTTGCAGCAATAGGCGTCAATGTCAATTGCGTTGTCTTGTCGCGGCTGGTAACCTTGAGATGCAAGGCTGGAGACTTGGGAGTGCCAAAAGGCGGGGCCCACCCTGCCGGGGGTACCAGTGACGGACAGCCTCTCAGCCCGCCCCGGCGGGGATCTTGGGGAGCGGGCAAGCTCCTGCCAATAGGAGAGCTCTGTTGCGAGAGATTCGAATCGGGCTGTCCGCTAGCTTTATTTAATCCGTTCCGTGCTTCAGGGTCCCCACCAAAATCACGTGTAGTCTTCGCTTAGTGACACCTGTTCGGCGACAGCCGCCCAGGGACAGATATTCACGAATGGGCCAGAGAGCGAGACCAGTTGTGAAGCCGTATATCGGAACGAATTGCTTCTCAAACAGTACAACTGGGAGACATATGTCCACTAAAGTCTCGCGCGGAACAGGACAGTCTGAACAGATGGTCTAAAGTTCGTTATTTCCCTTACACATGGTCCTTCCCCTCGAATCCACAGCAGACGTGTACCTCGAAACAGCGTGAGCTTCCCTTAGCTAACACGTATTCCGCCCCGTCCCTAGACCGTCTGATCCCCACCGCCCAGCTTCGATACATCCCACTCTTCCCCCTTGAACACTGTCCTTAACCTCACCGCGCCGGCACTTCGCCAGCAACACCACATCAACCGCCCACGATGGCATCCTTTCTGGACAATGCGTACAGCTTGGTGCACCAGGACAATGCTGCCGACGTTCCTTCCCTCTCCGATCTGCGCACGCAGCTAGAGAAGGGCACCGATGAGAGCAAAGTCGAGACAATGAAGCGCATTCTCACGATCATGCTCAACGGTGACCCGATGCCCAACCTGCTGATGCACATCATCCGATTCGTCATGCCTTCGAAACACAAGGCTCTCAAGAAGCTGCTGTACTTTTACTACGAGATCTGCCCCAAGCTCGACTCCAATGGCAAGCTGAAGCAGGAGATGATCTTGGTCTGGTTCGTGGCTGGCCCTTCGTCCCTTTGCAGCTGAAATACCCCTGCTGACACTCTGGCCTTAGCAACGGTATCAGAAACGACCTCCAACACCCCAATGAGTACATTCGTGGAAACACCCTCCGCTTCCTGTGCAAGCTTCGAGAACCCGAACTCATCGAGCCTCTCCTCTCGTCCGCGAGACAATGCCTTGAGCATCGCCATGCCTACGTCCGCAAGAACGCCGTCTTCGCCGTCTCCTCTATCTACACACACTCCGCCTCCCTCATTCCCGATGCCTCCGACCTCATTGCCACATTCCTCGAATCCGAGAACGACGCGACATGCAAGCGCAACGCTTTCGCCGCTCTGGCGTCCATCGACCACGAGAAGGCTCTGCTCTACCTGAGCACCGTATTCGAGGGCATCCCGAACGCAGAGGAGCTTCTGCAGCTCGTCGAGCTCGAGTTCATTCGCAAGGATGCCGTCCAGAACTCCCAGAACAAGGCAAGTCTCCCGCTACAAGTCTGCGCTGGGCCGCACATCTGACACGTAGCAGGCGCGGTATCTCAGACTCATTTTCGACCTTCTTGAAGCAAACACCTCCACTGTCGTATACGAAGCCGCCTCGTCATTAACTGCTCTTACCAACAACCCCGTCGCCGTCAAGGCAGCAGCCGCCAAGTTCATCGAGCTCAGCATCAAAGAGGCGGACAATAACGTCAAGCTTATCGTGCTCGATCGGGTCGACCAGCTTCGGAAAAAGAATGAAGGCATTCTGGATGACTTGGTTATGGAGATTCTCCGCGTTCTCTCCAGTCCCGACATCGATGTTCGGCGCAAGGCCTTGGATATTGCCCTCGAAATGGTGTCAAGCAAGAACATCGAGGAGGTTGTTCTGTTGCTCAAGAAGGAGCTGTCCAAGACTGTCGACCAGGAGTACGAGAAGAACACCGAGTACCGCCAACTTCTCATCCACACAATCCACCAGTGCGCCATCAAGTTCTCCGAGGTTGCAGCTAGTGTTGTAGACCTGCTCATGGACTTTATCGCCGACTTCAACAACACCTCCGCCGTCGATGTCATCAACTTTGTTAAGGAGGTCGTAGAGAAGTTCCCCAAGCTGCGCAAGCCCATCGTGCAGAGGCTCGTCGCCACCCTCAGCGAGGTGCGCGCCGGAAAGGTGTACAGAGGAATTATGTGGATCATAGGAGAATACTCCCTGGAGGAGCGCGACATCAGGGATGCGTGGAAGAGCATTCGTTCCAGCCTTGGCGAGATCCCGATCCTCGCCTCGGAACAACGGCTTCTTGACGGTGATGGTGAGGAGGAGAACAAGGAGCAGGTCAATGGCCATTCCAAGCCCACGGCACCAACCGGCTCCCGAAAGGTTCTTGCCGACGGTACCTACGCTACCGAAACAGCGCTCACCAGCCAGTCTGCTGTTGCTGCCAAGCTGGAGGCAGTCAAGGCTGCCCAGAAACCTCCCCTGCGCCAGCTCATTCTCGACGGCGACTACTACCTCGCGACGGTCCTCTCTGCTACACTCGTCAAGCTGGTCATGCGCCATGCCGAGATCTCTGCCGAGGCCGCACGCACCAATGCTCTCCGTGGTGAGGCCATGCTCATCATGATCTCCATCATCCGTGTCGGCCAGTCGCAATTTGTCAAGGCCCCCATCGACGAGGACTCGATTGACCGCATCATGTCTTGCGTGCGATCGCTGGCCGAGTTCGCCCAGAACAAGGAGCTCGAGACCGTTTACCTCGACGATACCCGCAAAGCGTTTAGGGCGATGGTCCAGGCTGAAGAGAAGAAGAAGGCTGCCAAGGAGGCCGTCGAGAAGGCCAAGACGGCCATTCAGGTTGACGACGTTGTTCAGATCCGCCAGCTCTCCAAGAAGAACGCCAGCGACGGACTGGATGACGTCGAGGTTGATTTGGAGAGGGCAACTGGCGGAGAAGCCACCGCAGAAGATCTGTCGTCTAAGCTTAGCCGCGTTGTCCAGTTGACTGGTTTCTCCGACCCCGTCTACGCCGAAGCCTACGTCAAGGTGCACCAGTTCGACATCGTCTTGGACGTGCTGCTTGTCAATCAGACAATGGAGACGCTGCAGAACCTGTCCGTCGAGTTCGCCACCCTGGGCGACCTCAAAGTCGTTGAGCGTCCGACGACACAGAATCTGGGCCCCCACGACTTCCACAACGTCCAGTGCACCATCAAGGTTTCGTCCACGGATACCGGTGTGATCTTTGGCAACGTCGTCTACGACGGCGCCCACTCCACAGATACCAACGTTGTCATCCTCAACGACCTCCACGTCGACATCATGGACTACATCCAGCCCGCGACCTGCACCGAGACGCAATTCCGTACGATGTGGACCGAGTTCGAGTGGGAGAACAAGGTCAACATCAACTCCAAGGCCAGGTCTCTCCGCGACTTCCTCGAGCAGCTAATGGCGGCAACCAACATGAACTGCCTCACCCCCGAGGCTAGCATGAAGGGCGACTGCCAGTTCCTAAGCGCCAACCTGTACGCTCGCAGTGTTTTCGGTAAGTTTCCTTGGCCAGTAGCAACAAGCACGATGCATGCTAACAATCGTAGGCGAGGATGCTCTGGCCAACTTGAGCATCGAGAAGGAGGGCGAGGACGGACCCATCACCGGCTTCGTCAGAATAAGAAGCAGATCGCAGGGCCTGGCCCTGAGCCTGGGCTCCCTCAAGGGCCTCAACAAGATCGGCTCAGCGGCGTAGAGGGTTTAAGGGTGAGGTTTGGGTGCTATATATCGAAACAGCAGCGTCGCCCCGGCTGCCTAAGGCTACGCCAGTGGGTGTAATGGGAGCTGAGGAGGTGTCATGACGGCTCCGGAACCGAAAACAAAGACACGATGCGTGGGGAAGGGGGGAACAACGGACGGCCGGCTTGGCTGGAGCGGCCGACAAGCGTTGAAATGGGAATGAAATGGGGAAAAGGGGGGGAGGTCTTGTCTGCGTTTTTCTTCCCTTGGCTTTCCCCTCCTTTCTCTTGTGTGGTTAGAGTAAAAAGTGCAGCCCGGTCAGGCGTCATGAGTAGGTAGAAATGAGATGTTCATGTTCCATTCTTGGGATTGGGCCAGGCCCGCGCGAGACTGCGATGGCATCACTTCGTTCGCTGCCCAAGCGGCTGGTCCTCCCCGACAGGGCTCATCTCTTCTCCTATACCGAAGAGGAATTTCAGGTGTGGTGAGCATTGAGCCAGACTAGTCACTAAGGAAAGGTCAAGCAAGAACCACACAACCCCCCTAACCTCCGCATCTCCTCATACACTTTGGCATACCACACAAGACACTGCGAAGGAAGCTGATTGATCATTCGTGCTGGTATCAAATTATTCGTTCTTTATATTCCCGGCCCAAGGAAACAGCCACACAGCCCGCCCATGCTATGATTCAGATAGCCGCACACCACCAGGTTTCGATCGCCAACGATCAACTATTAAACAACTACGATGGGATGGAAAAGAGGTTTATGTAAGTAAGAGGAGAAGGGGAGAGAAGAAAAAGTGGGAGAAGGGAGGCACACGCTCTCGGAACTGTGTGCTTTATAGCCAGACAAAACAGACGCACGTGCAATGGCTCGCCACATTTCATTTCATTTGATATTTGATGGTTGTCGGGCAAAGATTTCCTTGCCTCCGGTGCCTTTCCCGAACGCCAATAACCTGGAAAGAGAGAATAAGAAAAAAAGCAGAAGCGGGACACAAAGGGGTGAGAAAAGGAGAGTTCCGGACCGCGATGAAAGGGGGTATTTATCCAGACTAAGAGAGAACCAGACCAAAAGAAACTTTTTTGTGCTGACATGCCAAGCCAGTGTAAGGAGAAGGATCTGAATGGCCGTGGCGCGTGGTATGTATGTGCGTCGAGTGCTGTCTGCGCCAGGCCAGCTTCCGAGCAAGCCCGCGCGTCTCCAAATGCTCGCCTCTGTCACGTAGCGACTAACTGTGGATAAATGGCCGGCATGCCAGCAACTGGCACGCCTACTGACTGAGCCCTATGCCTGAGGATAGCCGCGAGCTAGGGGGGCTGAATACGATGCGTGTCCCGGCGGTGCGCAGCGTGACGACCAGCCAGGGCGAATACCGGGTCATTGGAGATTGTCCCCGATGATGCTATCGGTCGAAGACGAGGGCATTGACCACATGGCCCTCCTGCCAGCCCTGCTCGGTGAGCGAGAGGTTTTCCCTGAGGATCTTGCCCATGTATGCGATGCGGACTTTTTTGGTGCCGACAAGCTATACGATCTGTTAGATTATGTGTTCATGTAAGACTGGAGAGAAGACGTTTAAAGAGCCGACTTACCCCTGCCTGCTCCTGTATCTTGCGAGCAACGACTCTCACGGTGTCCGACTTGACAAAGTTGACAGTGACATCACGCGCGGTCTCGCTAAGGCGTGCTAACACTGAGAGCTGGTCTCGGGCGTCGACAACGGCCTTGCCCTTCTCCTCTCTGCGGCGGACGTTGTCGTCCTCGTCCAGCTCCTCCGTGGTCTCGTCCCCGCCGGCGAGATCGTCTTTAAGGTCCCGGGTGGAGAGCGCCTCGTCGGCGCCTTCAGTGGCGGCGTCGTCCTCGACGAGGTTGGCCGGGTCGGCAACAAGCCACTCGGCGAGGGAGTAATAGTTACCCAGCTGGTCGTAGGCGCCCTGGGCGAGGTCCCCCGTCGGCAACGTGATCTCGGCCGCGTCGAGGATGCCCTGAGCCGTAGCCAGGCCGCCGGTACCGTCAGCGGCGGCGCCCTGACTAACGGGGTCCCATAGGACCTCTAGGGCAGCGCGCAGCGACTGCCAGACCTCGGGGCGGCCGGTCACGCGAGTGTCGAAGAAGTCGGCGCGCTCGCGGTCCAGGGCGGTGCGTGTCCATGCACGGCCCTTGGAGGACCATTCGTGGCGGCGCAGGGGCTTGTTGATGTGCTTGTCGAGGGGCATGTTGGAGTGGCGGCCGCGGCGGCGGCCCGAAGAGGGGTGTGTCGCATGGGTGCCGGCAGGAGAGCGCTCGCGGGGGACGGAGGCGGCGGTGGCGGGGTTGATGGCTCGCGTGGAGCCAGTGTTGGAGGGGTGCGGGTACGCGTCGGCCTCGGAGCGAGAGATGCAGCAGCCCTATGTAAAGAATGGTTAGCCTGCGAGGTGATGGCATGTGGGTGCTCGGACAAGATGAATCTGGCTGTTTGCACTTTGGGGGCCCAGACGGAATGGTCTCCGATGGTCGTGGAACGAGGAAACAGGGGATGTTGGCGTACCATTTTGTCAGAGAGAGGCAAGTCGAGAGCACGGCGCTGGTTTTCGTAATTAAGTATCAGCAGGTCGAGATATCCCGTGCCATCGCCTGAGATAGTCCTAGAGCACAGCGGTGGCAGCAGTTGATGGGTGGGGATAGGATGGCTCGAGCTCGACCGGTGCAAGAATGACAAAACGGCGTGTTGATGACTGCGAAGAGGCGATTGAAGGTTTACAGCAGAGCGAAGAGGAGGTGAGGTAGGTGAGAACAGGAGGAGATGCGGAAATCGGACAATGGTCGTTGGGGAGATCTAGACCCTTTTGCTTGATTGACGTGCCAGTGTGTTGCTGGTTGGTCGGCAGACAGGCCTGCTCGTGTGTTGGTTTGCCGGGCACGAACGTGGGGGCGCAGCGAATGGAAGAAGAGAAGATGGTGAGCTGAGCGGCAGCTCCCAGCGTGTGCGTGCGCAGGTGCGGGTGTGTAAAGTTGAGCGAAAGGGTGAAGACTCCGGAGCGTGCGTGAGTTTACCTTGGACGAGAAGGGCAGAGAGGAGGAGGAGGAGGAGGAGAAGAAGAAGGTCGAAGAGGAGGAGGAGGAGGCGGAGGAGGGGAGAAAAGTGATAAGTAACGAGCGGACGATGTGACCGGGATGAGGTTCGGGGCGCCGGTGCTGGCTAGGTAGATAGGCTGGTGGTAGCGGTGGTAGTGACAAAAGGGAGCTGCGCCTTTACGGGTTGGCCGACTGACTTCTCTTTCGCTCAGCGCTTGCCCCCTCGTCGCACCGGGAGGAATTCAGAACTTTGGTGGTCGCAATTCCCAGGAGGCTTTTGGGTAGCAAGGGTATTAGTGGTGGTAGCGGCAGTCCTGGTGGCGGTAAGACAGTGAATTATTGCTTGTTTCCGCTCTAGTAGGTAGAGAGGCTCGCTTAGGACAAGTCGACAAGGTCTGGACCTCGACTTTCTGCCCTTTTTGTTCCTTTTGCTCAACTCTTGTGAAAACTTATAGTCTTTTCCCTCCATCTCTCTACCCTCTTCCTTTCTCTCTCTCTCTCTCTCTCTCTCTCTCTCTCTCTCTCTCTCTCTCTCTCTCTCTTTCTCTCTCTCTTTCTCTCTCTCCCTCTCACTCTTCTCTGACTCTGTCACTCTCTGACTCTCTGTCATCTTTCTGCACCCTCTCGTCTCGTTTCGCATCTCAAAGTCTAGTTTCTCCCGTGTGCAGAACAGAAGCTCTCAACCGGGACCGTTCCGTTCCACCCGGTTTCCCCATTTGCACGTGGCGCTTACTTTGTTCGAGTACTCCGCAACGCTGGAGACAATGGACTGAGACAATGCCGCAATGCAAGCAAGCCCAACCCGGCCTAACCCCAGTCAAACCCGGCCTGGCGGCACCCGTTTGCTCTTCCGCCGGCCTCGAGTCCATTCTTCTTCCTCTTCTTCTCCTCCCGTTAATTCTTTGATCCCCTAGCTTGTCGACACTAGTGCCTTGGCACGATCCACCAAGAAACAAAAAAGCCGGACTCCGACATCATGGTTCCCCAGCATTCCTCAGCTTGGCCCGCTCTCCGTCTGCGGAACGTCCCCCACCTCTATGTGCGTGCTCGGTTGGCCGGCGTCGGCGGTGTTCGACTCGGTCCAAAGAAAGGTTCTTGAAGCACCGAGCATTGGACGCCCGCATCCGATCCTGATCAATGGCCCGAGGACACACGCTTCTAGAACTCTAGATGGGCTATGGACTCAAGTCATGACGGAGGGCAAGTATCCTAACAAGATCCACAATGAAAAAGAATTATCCGTACTTTGTGACGAGAGACTGACAAACACCGCTTGTGACATGGTGTTAATTAGTAATTGGCCTGCTTCTCTAAAACCAATCCCGCCACCTCTCACCAGTGCTTGGGTTGCAGTAATCATGTCATCATCTGATGGATCATGTGTCAATGAAAACGCCCTCCTTGAATGTAACAAACTCGCCGGATTTACTTTGCCGCCCCGGAGGTCGAACCCTACATTATGCATACGACACCTTCTCACCACCTGAATCTTCCTTCTTTTCAGACGAACCCGACACACCGGCTATCCCCGGCAGCCAAGGCGATCCCCAGTAACTCTGAAGAACTGACGTTTGTGGGCTTCATTTACTCCACCGTATTAAGCCATTTCGGCACAGGATCCGGTCTTCTCTGAGCCGCTGCACCCCTGCTCTGTATCCTTCCGGGTCCAGTCTTCTCGTCTTTCATCTTATCCAACATCACACCCACTCCACGCGGTACATCAACGGTCGCGATTCCCCTCTTCAGCCGTTGCGTCTCAGAGAACAACGGTCTCTCGTTTGGGTATGGGACTCGCCTGTCCATCAATCACCACAGGAACTTGCGGCAGTTCTTGCTGTTGCATAGACACCTGACCATATCATCCTGCTTGCTCTTCTTTTTGGCGTCGTCATCCTCTTCACTGACGCCATCGACGTAGTCGAACGTCAGTTCTTCTCCTTTCGGTATGTCCCTGAGCGCAAACATGGCAATGTCGTGGATGTGCTTGTCCGCGTGGTCTCCGACGCGCGCAAAGATGCGCAGGTTCGGATCGCACGAGTGATTGATGAATCGCGTCGGGCCGGACATGAACTCGCCATCGATCTCGAGCGGCTGTCCTCGGAGGCGCACATCGGGCGAGTCTGGATCGGTGAATTTGTCGAGCGCGAAGAGGTACACGTCTTTCCGCTGCGCGATACTGGACGCAGCGCGGCGATGCTGAGCCTCCTGGGGCGTGATGATCTCCCCAATGTACTTGTCGACGAACTGGCCCTTCTTGATGTCCACCAGCGAGCGTACTCCTGTCATCCAAAAGGTCAGCCGTTAGTTGCTGCCCGTGCGGTACGCCCCAAGGGCGGCTGCTTACCCCATCCAGTCTTGTCCGTCCGGAAGATCTGCAAAGGCACCTTGCGGCCTCTCTCAACCACGCGGTTCGGGCAGTTCTCGGCGCACGCACAGCCATCGTGGCACTCGTATATGGGCCGCTTTGACTTCAGGAACTTGCTTCGCAGCAGGCCAGCTTTGGCGCCGTGCATATGGTACATGTAGACCTTTCGCCTGGTGGGCCCCTCATCGTCCGAGTCGTCATCCTGCTCCTGCAGGCACAGACAGCCCCTGTATTGACATTCCTCGGCGTCGGCACACTCGCAACCTGTGCGGAAACTATCCTCAGCGGCTTGGACTCCGGCCCCGAGTCTCGAGTTCTGCAAAAATCGAAAGGTAGAGGGGATGGTTGCGTTGTCAACCTCGTTGACTATTGTGATCGGATATTGCTTGTTTGTGGGGAACGAACGAATCTGGCACCAATGGCAGTGTTCTTTCTCTTTTTCGAGAGCCTGCGTAAGACCGAGTCAGCTTGGGATGTCTGCATTGAAGCGGCCGAGGGGGTTGCGCATTACCCTGGCCGACGTTTTGGCACCGGTCGGCTCACTGGCACCGTGGTGAAAGAAGTGGCGCTCGGTAGCCGCCTCCATGTCATCAGCTGTTCGTGGGAGAATTGAGAAGCCGTGACGGCATCATAGAGTGGGAAGGGTGTGTTTTGGTAGATGACCGCAACCTGCCCATGATGGTTCCAACTGAAGAAAGCCGCGCGGGGCAGACAGCCAAGCCGAGAAGCAAATCACTTTACGCGACGCGTCTGATGCACGGTGACGGATATCCGTCACTGCTGACTCAGCCAACTCGTGTTGGGCCGTTCGTTTTCACCCCTTCCTCCACTTCCAGACGCTGCCATTCAGGAACTCCATCCTCCGTCTCTTCTTTCGTACTAACGTTGGCAAACTGGGTCACATTGGTTGCACAATGTTCAAAAAACGAAATGAATTTTTCTTGTACAAGGTAATTGTTCATCGAAGGTAATTTATGTCGTGTTTTGGTACAATCGGGTAGCGACCACATGATTGACCCGGCTCTATCCAACCACTGATATGACTTCATCAGACTTCAGACTCACAGGTTCCTAGGCTTGTTCTTGCACTCAGGCTTGAACGTTGATCCGAGCTCTCCCCACTTGAGGTTGCTGAACGTCACGACGGGATTCGGCTCGACCTTGATAACGTTCTGCGGGAACCCCTCCGTCTCATCGCACGGCCCGGCATCGGGCGCGCCGTCAAGCCACCTCATGCCGCCGCCCTCGTCCCACCAGATGCTGAAGGCGAGTACCATGCCGCGGTCGAACGATTCGCCCATTCCTTGGTGCGCGCCCAGCTCCGTGAACCGTCGGGCGCCCGTTGCGGCGCAGAACTCGTCGTTGAGGTAGTTGACCTGCGGCAGGCCCGGGTTGTTGACGACCTGGCTGCGAACGAGGCGCCCGTCCTGGATGTACAGTCGGTGGATTTCGGTAAGAACGCCGGCCTCGTTGGCCGGGAACTGCGTGATGACGGTGAAGGGACGCGTGGTGTCCACCTTGAACTCCGGGCCGCGGCCGTAGGTCTCCGGGGTGTTGACCCTGTACGGGCTTTGGGGAAAAGGTCAACTCGATTCAGGAATCATGGTGGATTGGGGAGTGGTTGCTTACTTCCAGGCGCAGCCGTCCTTGTCGCATACCCCTTCGTACGCGCAGTCTTCGCCCTCACAAAGGTAGACGCCGGTCTGGTTGCAAGGATGAGGTGCCACGTGCGCCGCGCGAGAGTTCGATTCCCAAATGTCCTATCGCGAGCTTGTCAACAACTGTCAAGTGGCCAAACAACTCGGGCATCTTACCATCTCATTACAGCACGCCCCGTAACCCTCAATGTTGGCCTCACCATTGATAAATGGCGTCGTGTAGCACTGTGCATCGCAGTATCCTGAAGACGAGTAGCAGTCAGCTTTGTCCGAGACCAGGCAGGTATAGGCCGAGAATCTGAAGAGGCTCAATATTTACCGGTTCCATGAAAAGCTCCTCCCTTGTTAAGCGCGCTCTTCCCGCCATCGGCCTTCATTTCGGAGGTATACAAGGCGCTGTTCATGCCACAGGGGAGTTTCGAAACGTCCACATCGAAAGCGATCTCCTTGCCCGTCAGGTGCATCATTTCGTACTTCTCTTTGGACGAGTCGAGCAGATACACGCGCGGAGACACCTGGAGGCCGTTCCGGAGCAGGTACATGGTCATAGCACTGCCGTCCGTGGTGACCCCCATGCGGCTGTAGTCGTCGAGGCCCTCCTGGACGCAGTTCTCGGCGCAGGCCTCCTTGGTAGGGCACGCCGTTGCGTTGGGCGGGTTGCCCCAGGAGCCGCAGGATGCACCGTTGGCCTCCTGGTAGACGTTGTGCGCAAGGGAGTCGAGGACGATGAAGTTGCTGGCCTCGGTGCAGCCGCCGGCCTTGGTGCAACGCCACGTCTTCAGCGGCGGGTGGTTCTCGGCCGGTCCGACCTGGCGCTGGGCGGCTGCGAAGCCGAGGAAAAGGGCGGCCAGGCCCAAACGGGAGACACTTGAGGCCATGGCGACTGGCTAGTGGTCAAGGTCCTTGAGGGGAATGGTCGCTTGCAGGCCTGGGTAAGGAGAAGTAATGACGATGGCAGCAATTGACAAACAAGAGCACTTAGACTGGGACCATGAGGGAGCCCAGTCTTTATTATAACCTCACGTATTGGCAAGTCCATCTCCATGTCTGCTTCGCGTTGTTGGATGCCAACCTCTTTCCCCATTGCCGCTTCACGAGCTTCTACTAGGGAACGCGACCAAAGGGGCCCGCCCACGCTCACGATGCCACCCACGCGCGTCCCGTCCTTGGCTTGTCCTCGCTTCTTCCCGTTGAGTCGCATGGAACGTCACGCTCCGAAGCACCGCATCCATGGCAAGGGTTGGGTAGCGTTTGGCAGATTGAGCTGTGAAGCTACCGGTCGCGGGAGATCAGAGCTGGAATGGTGCCCAAGTGGAGTTATGCCGGCGTCCGTTCCGCTTCATGGCCCTCACGGCAGAACGGGCCAGGAACCCGCGCATGGGTATGCTCTTGGCGATCACCTGGATGTAGATTCGCTTCTCGTTCCAAGGCCACGCGGTTACCCCTGCATCGAGACATCACGGAGGCCACTTGGTCGTCCCGCCTAGTGTGTCGGGTGGAGGCCCGGCGATCAGCCGGTTCTGGTTCCTCACAGGAGCAACGATTGGGCGCACGCTGTATCCAGACTGGCTACCAAGGGCTGTATTGACCGAATTGTCGGAGGCGTTCCTGCGTGGGATGGAAGGGTGAATTGGGGTAGGGACAGCAAGCGGGGAAATGACAAGAGGTTAGAATTAAAGACGGCTAATACCTAGTCCATGTTCCCCAGCTCTCCGCATAAACCCATCGCAGGGGTGCATGACAAGGATCGGTGATGAGAAACGGATGTACCATGTGACTGTCCAAAAGGGCCACTCCCGGCTGCAACATTGCATAGACGGAATTGCCCCGGGGAGTTCTGAGGCAAGGTCTGCATAGTCGAGAGCAAACTAATTCAAAGCCCATGAGATTAGTTTTAGGACGAATAATTGCGACACCATGAACCCGCATGAGTCGAAACGACGGAAGCCGTCAAGTATATTGATGTCTCCAGGCCTTCGGGGCTTCGTCATATACGCCTTGGAAGCCATCTTAGATCCGGACCATGAACGCCCGACATGAGACTGGCCAATTCGGGCCAACCACACCTCAACCCCGCCGAGGGGAGCCGTCTGGCCACCGGAGAAAACGGCCACTTGTCTCCAGTCCGAATTCTTCCACCCTGTCCTCACTCTGTCTCAACTCCCAATGTTTTTAATTCATCCGCCTTTGCCCGGCTCGGCACGCACAGCACTCCCCGATGTCTCCATCTGCTCGGGGCCGGCGTCAGATCCCTGGTTAAAAAAGAGCAATGCAGTCGAGCTCTCCCTGGCACACACACAGCTTATCGGGTCATATGAAGAGATTGGTGGCGCTTTGCATATCGCTGCAAGGCACACACTGCTAGTGTCCATTCTTCCGTCCCCCTATTCATGCGTTGAATCCGTTGACACGCGGTGTTGGTTACGGCAACTGGGTCCGGCAGTCATCTTACCGCCCTTTTTGCTCTTGTCGGACTGGATGCAACAGAGGAACGGTCATCAGTTGACAAATGATTCGTACACGGCCAGGAAGCTTGTTATGCCACTCCGTAGCTCACGCGCAGCATTGCCAGTTACTCTTGATGACATCCACAATGACGCCGTGGTCCTCGTCCTGCTTCAGCCCACTCACAACCACAACAGCGACCACACCCTCAACACCCTGGACACGGATCGGCACGCCGCCACCGTGGATCGCGTACTTGCTGGCCTGCTCCGGGCTCATGCCGGACTTTGACGCGAGAAGCTTCTCGTCGCCGCCCATCTTGTTGTGGAGTAGCCACGTGCTGCATCCCCATCGCAGCACGCTATTGCGTTTGCGCTGTACCCAGATCTCGCTATCGGGGAGGTTGCCGGGTCCGACGGACGTCTGGAAAAGGGTCTGCTCGCTGTTGGCCAGAGCGATGGAAACCACCGTGGGCTTGCCATTTTTGAGGGCGAAGGGGAGGAGGCGCGCGTGCAGGAGGTGGCCGAGTTCAAAGGCGTCTTCGTATGTGAAGGATGAGAGGGTGAAAGAGTCCCCGTCCTCCTTGAGAGCTTCGATCTAATACGAGCGTTATCAGAGACCGTTGCAGCAATACGGTCGCAGCATCGGCTTTCAACACTCACATTGCGGGACGGAGACGGGATGCAAACAGGGGCGGCATCGGGGTTTCGAACGGCCTCGAGGGACTTCTCCAGGCCAAAGCCCGCGTGATTCCGGCGGGTCCAGACTTTTTGGGACATATTTGGCGGCAGCGATGGTGGTTTCGGGCCGTTGAGGTATGAGTCAAACGCTGGCCTGTTTGTGTTAATCGGCGTTTCTTCTGGCGAGCGACGAGTGTCGGAGCTAACTGATGATAAACTGTCGTCGTTGAGCTGAAGTCGACGTTCTTGTTAGTTCCTCCTCGTTCTGTTGGCTGCGGTGGCAACGCTCTTAAATCCTCAGCAAATGGACAAAACCCCGCCCCCTGCCATTCGATTCCCAGATCTCCAAAATTGTGGTTCCTCGCAGCCCACTTGGCGTTTCTCTCAACTCCTACAGTTGCCCCATTGGGAATCGGTGAAGTAGACTTACGGAGTCAGGAATCTCGTCTTGTCGCGTGAGCGGCTGCAGGGCCGGTTGAATGACGGGCGCCGCCATGCTGCCCGAGTTGCTGCCGACGGTGCTCGTCCGGCCCGTGCTGCTCTGCTTCTTGGGCGTCTTCGCATAGCGATGGAGTCCCCATTCCCTCATCCTGCGCTGGAACGTCTTGCCGTTTACTTCAACGCCCTTGGCGGCGAGGCCCTTGATCATGCTCTCAATGGTTTCGCGCCGGTCAAACGCCCTGGTGATCTCATCTTTGTATGGCTCCAAGTCCAGGCGGGGACGGCCAGGAGGCATTCTTTGGCTGCGCGGTAAGCGGTCCTTTTCCAGAACAATTTGAACTACTTGGCCACGGAGAATAGATGACGATGTGTGCTGCACGATGAACACCGCTGGCCACTCTGATGATCGTCGTTGCGAAAGAAAGCGTGAAGTGGAGGCCGCGCGCTTTGGCCAATTTCTGCATGTCTCAATCGGACAAATTTCCCGGCAATAGTCCGGATCGTACACCCACCCACCCCCGCCCTGACCTCCTGTCACAGGACGTTGACACGAACGATATCGCGAAGACCATATATGTCTATATCATCTCTTTGATATCGTAGAGCGAGTAGAACTGTCAGGTTTCACAAGGGAAGGCATGGCACAAAAAGGTGAGTCGATATTATTGGAACGACAAATTTTATACTGTTCGCTGTGCAGACAGACGCTATAAAATGAAACTGAGAGTTTGAATGTTTTGTGTGGGTTCGTCATGGCGTTCCGAATCTCCATATGACAAAGAGCACCAACACAGGCAGTGATGCCAAGTTGCGTTCCTGATTTTTAACCGGACGCCTTTATGGAATAATTGCTAGGCGACTTTACAATACCCTACGTCTTCAATTCTGCAAAGGCTTGACAGTTACATAAGCTCTCCCTTTTTGGATAAACGGGAATGGTTCACGTGCGAAAGTAGTAGATCCATCGCATTTTCCACGAAAACCCTATCATGTTCCCAGCAAGCCCGCACAGGAGTTGAACTCTATTGCAGCTGCCATAGAGAAAGAGGGAGTATGGAATGTCGCTTCGTTTTCTCACAAAATATCCTCCAGTAACTTGCCGTTGGCTGTTAAACAGTGCAAGGCTTCGAGTTGTACAGTTATGCCTCGTGCGGCACATAGCCGAAATCGTGTCGATGCATGGAACTGACCAGGGAAAACCAAAAGTGAAAAGACGGCCTCACTTTGATTATGACCCCACCCATGGCTGCGGAAAGGCCTTATGATCCGGGGCTTCGTTACGTGATCTTTTTCAACTTCATCTTTTCTTTCGTGTTTTCTTACTCGTGTGGTTGTGTTTTGCTGCCCCAAACAGGCCTTCAAATCCAACTGTGATCCCCCATCTCCATCTTGTGACATCGTCAATCAGTGCATACATAAAGCTTATCGCGGTCATTCATTTATAGCTGAGTTTACATCTGCGTGCAGGTGGCAGCAGCGGCAGCATGCCGTGACATGGGGCCGGGAGCTGTTTTGCGGCTCATGAATAAACGCAACATTTATCAGTCATCGTCATGGCCATAAAGCTGCTCTGAAACCTCGGGTGAGTAAGTGACAGTTGAGTTGTGATGACAAGTCTTCGTCTGAGACACAATCTGGGTCATCCTAGTTTGTGTCAGGAGTGAAGATCAGGTGAAGCATCAGGGGTTGCTGGCGTGTCACGTGTGCCAAATTCAACACTCCAGCATCAATCAATTCAATGGAACTAACTGCTCAAAGGCCATCCACACGAAAAGCCCGTCCCGAATCTTGAATGTCATTCCGGCTCCGCAGGGAACACAACGACGAGTCCTATCGGACCACGGCCGGTTGGCCCAATGGCAAGGCGTCTGACTACGATTAGATATGGTATCAGGAGATTCTGGGTTCGACCCCCAGGCTGGTCAAGTTATATTTTTGCGCGCGCGTCAGATGGATGACGGAAACGTGCCTGACCGACGGGCATTCATGCAGCTTAGGGCTCAATCTCGTTTCCGGAGAAACCAAGGATGGCCCCACATGGTTGGTTTCCTCGTTGTGGGCGGGAGCACGGTTCGTTGGTTGTTTGCTGGGCGAAAGAAAAAGCTTGCCCTCACCAGATCTTTTGATGTGAGCTGGCGGGGGTGGCTCAAGAGATATGTGTGGTGAACATCAGACGCGCCAAAAGCTTGACGGGTATCAAGCATCAGGTCAAGTTTTGGTCCTACAAACCCGGTTCGTCGGACGGCAATTGTATAGGGTTGATGGCGCTGTTTCGAGCCATTGTCCGCCCTTCGATAACTAATCAGAAGCCTAAACAAGCAGATTTCGCCGCCTGGGGAATGGCGGCGCAAACTCAGGGGCAGTCGGCATTTCAGTACGCATACTCCGTACAAGACGGTCCCTCTTAAAGTCGTTCAGGTACACGATGATGATCTGTAGCCTGTAGGCGACCCTAGGACCCCAGTCGGCAGCTCGGCTTGTGGCAGCGGTTCATTGGTGGTCGATTTCCCAGAAGTGTAATGTTCCGAGAGATCGACCGCGTTAGTATCATTGTGTGCCTGTGTGACCTCACGAGGGACGGACCGCTTTGTATCTGTATCTGTCTGTACCTGGCGGCCTTTGTGGCTTCGGCAAGGCCTATTCACCCCTCCCTCAGTACGAATAGTTTTAGGAACCATCTTCGCCGACGGGCGGGGGAAGTAAGGCTTTCACAAATCTACGAACCAGGCACAACGGTGCACTACGATCTGGCCAAGGCGATCAGTAACCAATGCATAAAGTAAAATCAAACTCTCATAACCGGCAAGTGGAACTGTTTAGAGAGCTCTGCCCCTTGATAGCACCCAATCTCTCGGCGAAGGCTGACTTGACTCGTATTTTGACCGGGATGAGAGTCTCAACCGGGACTCGGGTGTCATGGATCCCCCCCTCCACACAATCTTGAATCCCGTACACCAAAATGATCACGACACACGTCAATGGTGTTGTGGACGTGCCAGGCTGCTCCCTCCGACGACCGGGGTGTGTCACCTTAACCCCTAATTCCGCAGCGGCCGAGTCTCCGGGTCCAACTGGCTGGCCCCTTTGGGTCCCCCGGGATCCTTGTAGCAACTCAAGTTCAAGGATGTCGGTCAATACCAAAGACGGCAGAAAGCGTGCTCCCATAGGAAATTGCTTCCTTCACCATCAGTCTAGTCCCCCGTCCCCTCCTCCTCCACAGCCACCTAAAACTCTTCCACGTCCTAAACCGACCGCATCTCGAAACCGCAAAACCCCTTTGGTTGGACTTATTGGAACGCGTACGCAAGGTACTCAAGAAGAACCCATGTCCAGAAGGAAGTTGGCAGCGGCGTCTTCCTGCTAAGAAAACAATCAACAAGCCGATCCTCGACCCCATCGTGCGTCGACCGACGAGCCGCCGAAAATGTCGCCAAGACCTCGGCGTCGAATCATCCCAACTCCAGCACTCATCATATCCTACCTGGCAGCACAGTCTCGGGCTGTTTTCGTCAACGACTTTTCTGCGTACCCGGTGAAAGCAAGGTCATGTTTGGACGCGGCAGCGGCTGCGTCCGGCTGCACCGGTAACACAGTCACGGAGATGAATACATGTCTATGCGGAAATGGCGGCGACTTCGTGCTGACGACTGCGAGATGCGTTGAGAAGCAAGCGAGAGACCAGCTCGCCGCGGTTTATTCAATGCTTCTGACCTCCTGCACGGACTCGAGAACACCGCTGGGCGTTTCTCAGGCACAATTCCTGGACCCCGAGGACGACGTCGAAGACATAGTACCGACGACATTTGCCACTTCAACCACGAAACCGCCGGCCGCAGCGTCATCAACACAAGCACCAGGAACAATAACGTCAACGTCTATGATGACGTACCAGAGCGTGGCGCCAGGCGGAGTAACGGTGACGATAACGAGAGGAATCGAGGTGGCTCCAACCGGGACGACCAGTGGGAAGCAGGGCGGCGACGACGAGAAGTCGGGTTCTGATGACAGAGACACCCGCGTGGCCCTGGCAGCCGGGATTGCTGGATCGCTCGCGCTTCTCATGGCTGCGCTTGCGTTCCTCTGCTATCGGCGACGGAAGCAGGGCAGAGAAAAGGATAGGCAGGGCGGCCGTGGGGGCAAGTTTGCGGCATTATCCAGTGCGACGAGTCTCACGACAATGACGGCCTCATCGCCCCCTGGCCGGTCGACGACAGCATACAACGGAGCGAACGGCCTTGGACCTGATACCGCTCACACGGTGCAGATGGCAGCGGGTACCACTGCATGGAGCCACCAACAGCAACAATATGCACCGGAGAGTCCTCAACATTGGCAAAACCAGTATGGCCAGCATACGGGAAATTGGCCGTCGCCAGTCACCAATACTGACGGAACTATTGGGACATGGGCGCTCTCGCCCGTCTCTACATACCCCCCGAATTCAACAAGGGGGCCCGACTCACCAACATTACAGAACGCGAGTTGGAACGCACATGGGGCTCCTGCTGGCGTTCCCGCTCAACATCCTTCACATCCATCGAGAAACACATATACTCCCATCTTCGAACTCCCCGGAGATGAAACTCAGGCCGTCGAGGCTGACTCGACGCCCATTGGTTCCGCACAACCAGTACGTTCGCCCTCACGATCCATTCAATCGACACCAGTACACATGTCCGCACAGCCCGTTGCACTGGCACCGACACATCCCGGAAGGTCCAGGCAGATTGATGATGCACTGCAAATATCACAAGTGGAATTACCGCCGCCTCGGTACTCGGGTCCTTCATCAGGAGTCGAATGGGCTGGTGATGAAAAGAGACCCGGCTAGATGAGGGGGTCTCTAGCGATACAGCTCTTCAGCATAACGATATTCTATAAATTTTGTAATTATTACCTACTTATCCGTATGGAGATACTTGGGCCGTCATCGCCAACTTCATCTAAAAGTTTCAAATTCAATTCACTTAAAGATTGGCAATATCTTATATTACCTACCCTCATATATATATATGTATATATGTACGTATGTATGTATATGTGCAGTGGTAAAACGCAGTTATCACTAATTTTCGAGTCCTATGAAAAAAGAAGCTAGGAACTAAGAAAGTCTTTAATTAGTACTTATATTCCATGCAAAGAAATAAGCAAGTTTTCAGCGAATGCAAAAGAGTATGTCCCTAGCAAGGCTCGAACTTGCGACCTTTGGATATCCCGACCTTAGGGCAGGGTCATATAACGAATATGAGACCAACGCTCTACCGACTGAGCCATAGAGACTTCTGATAAGCCATGATAGCTCCTTGCTGGGGGATGACACTGAATGATGGATAAGAATACTGTGGATTCGATTACAGATTTTAACAGCAGTACAGCAGCAGCCATTAAGGCCGACTATGTTAAATAAAAGTCGAGATTTTAATAGGTCTATAGCAAGCGAAAATAAGACTTACTATAGCTATTTAGTAGACCTACTGCCCTCCTAATTAATAAGCTACTTTCTACTATGTAGCATCTGCTTACAGTTGTAAGTGTATTTACTGTATATTGTAATAATAGACAGGCGCCGGTCAGTGGTAGTAATAGTAGGTAATTGCTGACAACAGTGGTGCGTGCTGGCGATAGTGGGCAGGTGCTGGCAGCCAGGCGCTGGCAACAGTAGGTAATTACATTGCCCCAGTCGCACTGCTGACCTACCCCCTTTTGGGCTAGATCGGTACGTATGTGGCTCACTTCTCATCCTTCGTCAATCATATACAGCGGCATGTTTGCTCTTCGTTAACGGTTCCGAGGCGCGCGAGTTACATTATTCGGGAATCCTCTCCGCAATGATTCAAATCATGTTTAGAGACGAGAGCTTTGTAGGACATTATGACATGAGGCAGAATAAGAGTGGCTTGACGTCTCGAAACATACCAGAACATGTCATCTTGGAATTTTCCTGGAGGCTTTAAAGACGACGTTCTGATGGCTCTGAAACATCAGCAGAAATCATATGCCGTCGCTTTCCCCAGAAAGGCTATTTCCTATGCCTGACCGCATTCGTAAATGTGTCTTGCAAGACTGCCAGTCACGAACCCCGTCGCCCCCCAAGGCTTCAGACTAGTGCAGACGCAGAGCGGCCTCACAGAGAGGCCTCTTGTCAGCCTTACCCAGCCACAACAACATGCGGGCGTCGTATCCCGAACGCGCGTCCCGATAACGCTAGCCAATGGATCATAGGAGTTCTCCTGTAACCGACTCCTGCGGCTGAATTGCGGAACTGGGGCGGAGGATGCCTGCCTAGCTCGGAGGCGGTGCTTTCAAACCACGCTGACATACATAGGCCGGCGTGTCAAGTCCATATCATGACCCCTCCGCACACCCGGACGTCAGCGGGGTCGGGTAGCCTGGTTTTCTCATTTAACTATAAGTCGTCGCCAACGAACGGGTGCACTGCCGAGCGCATCAGCAAATCGGGGGGGGGGGTCTCTGAGAAATACTGTCAAAATCCCGTCGCAACCGGGAGAACCTGTCTTCTCGGGACAATGGTGGGCTTCTCCTCCGCGGCGGTGACGTCGAACTGCGACGACATCTCCCATCGAGTCGTCTCCACATCGGCCGAGCTCGATAGTCTGCTCAAAGCCATCGATCCCGGGAGCATTGAAGCCCAGCACTTGATCTCTTTCTCAGCAAAGCTCGAGCAGCTCAGAGATACTACGGAACGGCTACGGAGATGTCTGGATAACGCATCAGCTATCTCTCCTGGCCTGCGAAATGCCCTAGCCGTTTCGGTTCAACCATGCGCAGATGCAGCGGCAGTTGTGAACAAGCAGATCCGTAGACTCGACCCGGGCAACGTGACGGGCCTCAATCCAGACGTGATCTTGAGATATGAGAGCTACCACATGGCAAACACTCGTCTCTTCACGCAGTACATTCAGGTGGTCCAGATGTAAGTTTCCGAAAGCAATCAGTCTCGAGTATGAACAAGTCGCTGAAGATCCCGAGGCCCACGGTCACCCAGCAGGACTCAAGGCTCTCAGCACCGGACGGACATCGATTACTGGAGACGGCTGTAGAAACATCACAGATCGTTCTCACTCGAAGCGACATTCTCCAAGTCACGGAAGAACCCGGCAGCTCGGTCGTTTCCAATGCAGCAACTTCGAGAGAGCTCGAGGACATCCCGACAAATGCGAAACCACCAGACTATGCACCAGGCAACACAGGCAAGGGAAAAAACAAGGCCACTGGCCAGTTCTTCTCGTCAATTTCGAGTTCTTTCAAGGCAATGACGGCCAGCTTGCGAGCTAAACCAGAGCCGATGGTCATCGCCATGTGCCAGGCAGCCAAGAGCGGTGACGTGGGGCATCTCAAAGGATTCGTCACGCAAGGAGTCAACATTAACGGCCAGAACGACGAAGGATACACGCCGCTCATATGTGCCATCCGTGCCAATCAAATTGAAGCCGTCGAGTTTCTTATACAATCTGGAGCCGACCAATCGACCAAAGACTCGTGTAGTGGGAAGAAGAAGCCTCCTCTCTTCCACGCCGCCGAGTGTGGCTTCGTCCCCATTGCCGAGTTGCTCATGAACAATGGAGCAGACACCAAGGAGCGTTCCTGGTCTGGACAGCCATTTTTCGTTGAGGTTGCTAATAACGACCAGCTAGAGATGATCAAACTTTTCTTGTCCTGGGGATGCGATGCCAACACTAGCGCCATCAATGGACGCACCATCTTCATCCACGCCGTTCAGGCTGGGAGTCTTCCACATATGAAGCTTCTACAGGAGTTCGGTGCCGACATGAACGCTCGCGACATCACTGGCCAGCCCGCACTTCACATGGCTCTAGGGAAAAACCGTATGGACATCGTCTCCTTTCTCCTGGAGCACGGTGCGGACCCCAACGCGACGGACCTGACTGGGAGCAGCATGATTATCTCCGCGTTGCACAAGAAGAAGTACGATCTTGTCAAAACGCTTTTAGTCAGAGGGGCCGATCCTAACACCACGGACCTGATGGGCAAGGGGGTTCTCTGGACGACGTTGCAAAATAAAGACATGGAGGATACTACCAAGGTTGACCTTTCCCGGGCGCTTCTACAACGAGGGGCCAACCCTAATGAAGCTGACAGTTGGGGGGAGTCCATAATGAGCCTGGTCATCACGCTGGGTAACACTGAGCTTCTTCGAGTATTCCTGACGCATGGCGGGAATCCGAACAAGAAGCTAAAAGACGACACATTCCTCCTTTACGCTATCAGCACGGGGCGGACTGAGGATGCAAAACTCCTCCTGACACACGGCGCCGACGCGAATGCGGCCGACAACAAGGGCAGAACGCCTCTCATTGAGGCTCTTCAATCGGAAAACCAAGCCTTGGTGCAGAAGTTACTGGCTCACGGCGCGGATGTCAACAAGATGGGGAACGTCAAGCCACTGACGCTGGCGCGACTACTTCAGAGCCAGGAACTCATTCGAATGCTGACAGAACGAGGAGCTCAGGCTCCTATCCCACCCAAGCTGGAAACTGCTCCTCCACCTACATCAGTGTCTTCGAATGGACCAAGTGCGAGTTCCAGGCGGCAAGCTCCACCGCAGTCTAGTAGCGCAGAGATGCCTCCTCCATATACGGAAGCAAGTGCTGTCGATGGGTTGACAATACCAGGAACTCCAAGTGGCGTGCAGAGGTTAATATAGAGTGGCATATTTAAATAGCGAGACTTGGTATTGCAACGGCTTTGGTTCAACTGTGAGGCGCAAGAGGTGTTCGCTGCGTGTGAATCTCACCTACCTTCAAGCTTCCACTTACCCTACAGTGCACACTCTCCCCAGATATTGTCATAAACTCACAGTTGAGTCGTCCGACTCTACCGAATGATGTGCAAAAATAACTTTCTTCACGCTTTGGTGTGACAGCCCGCCTCTGAGCGGCCGTCTCAAGGGCCAACTCGAGCTGCCAAAGGATCAGACCTCGGGAAGTATCCTCTACCTCGCAAGCTCGGCCAGTCAGCGGCACAATTGATCGACACCTCGGTTATGATGCTTTCACGTGAGCACGTTGTTATCTATCCGGGCTTGCCGCCAACCATTTCGGGTCACTATAAAGTGGTTTTGAGGATGTAACCGGTATTAGCTACGTTTGATGTCGTACCTGTCTCCAACTAGGCTGACCAGAACATCGTAGTACTTGGCTTCAAGATGATGCTGAAACTGAACATGACTAAGCGGCCGTACGTTACTCCTGAGTCTTCAACCGTCACCGCGGTAGGATTTGTGCGTGAACTGTGTACACGGTCTGCTCTCAAACCTTAAACGACCTGCCCGCACCGCGATTGTCAAACAGCCCGACAGCGCATGGTCTAATATCTTATCGACATCAACAACAGGCTGAGAATTAGCAACCATCATTTATCCTTAGTTTTATCTCACATCTACGACTCTTTGCGGGATATAGCCATGTGCGGAATTACGGCCATCATTAAGCTCCGACGGGGTGGTCGCCCGAATGCGGTAAAAGAACAGTCTTGCCTTCACGTCGAGGAGCCAAGCAACCCGCAGAGGTACATTGATCTGCACAATAAACTGGCGGAGAGTCTTTCCAAAATTGCCCACAGGGGCCCAGACGCCGAGGGTATCTGGATCTCCGACGACGGAAGCATTGGTAAGCAACCATTGGCCATGGACATCCATCCATCCATCTAACAAGTACATCCCTAGGTCTGGGACACCGACGTCTTGCTATCAATGACTTGACACCCCATGGTGTACAGCCCATACACAGCGACGATAGGAAAATCCACGCAGTTGTCAACGGCGAGATTTACGACCACGACGCCATTCGTCAGCGTTGTGTTCATGACCACGGATACGAGTTCAAATGCCGCAGCGATAGTGAAGTCCTAGTTGCCCTCTACAAAATTTACGGGGCCCCGGAGTTCTTCAGACACCTCCGGGGCGAGTTCTCGTTCATTATATTCGATGAAAATGATGGGCGAGTAATTGTAGCACGGGATCGCTTTGGTATCAAACCCATGTTCTGGACCATTGTTGGCAACGGGGACGGCGAGGAGAAACGTTTGCTTCTGACCTCAGAAGTCAAAGGATTTCTACCGCTGGGCTGGAAACCCGAGTGGAACGTCGAAGGCCTTATCAGCGGCGCTTCTCTCCAAGCCGAGAACACGGTGTTCAAGGACGTGTGGAAATTAAATCCTGGAACGTGGATGGAGATATCTCAAGATGGCGACATTAAGCACCACCAGTACTGGGACCCGCAGTACAAAGACAAGGTGTGCAACCGCAGATAACACGATTTGTCACTTTACTGACACCAGGACAGCGCCAGGTGGAGACGCGAACTGTAGATGAGATGATTCAAGAAGTCAGGAGACGTATGGTTGAAGCTGTGAGACTTCGGCTTCGGGCTGATGTGCCTGTGGGGATCTATTTATCTGGTGGCATTGATTCCTCAGTTGTTGCTGGTATTGTGACCAAGCTAGTGCGTGAAGAGGGAGTTATGCTGGGTAACCAAGATGCCACGAAACGGATATCATGCTTCAGCATTCAATTCTCTGAGGGCTCAGGATTCAACGAAGCGGGTAAGTTCTCGCTATATAGAGCATTAAAAACTCGAGTTCGCAGCTTTACTGTATTAGACCTGCTAACCAAGCAACCGTTAGATATTGCTGAGCGTACAGCGACCTGGCTCGGAGTCCAAATCCTTAAGAAAGATATGAACGAAGAGGAACTGGCGAAGAACTTTGCCGACTGTGTCTATCACCTTGAAAACCATCACTTCGACCTCAACTTTGTAGGGAAATTCTGTCTTTCCACATTACCCAGGCAACATGGCGTTCCAGTTGTCCTTACTGGTGAAGGTGCGGATGAACTGTTTGCCGGTTATCCGTTCTTGTTGCAAGACTTTCTCTTGGAGTCTGACTATGCATGGCCCAATTCTCCTTTATCAAAAAACGATAGCATGCGTCAGAGTATGCAAAAAGAGGTGGCCGAAGACATCAAGAACATGTTTAACAGAATTGGGATGTTTGACCATCAGTGGGAAGAGATAGCCCCGTCATCTCCACACATCGACATAGCCCACAACGCTCTGAAGTGGCAACCGGACTGGAGTTTGTTCGCGCCTTGGGTTCGAGAGACTTACGGAGAACTTGACATGAGAGAGGTTGTCGCTCGGACCATGTCTTCTGAGGTCCACAATAATATGAAGGAAAAATGGCATCCGTTGCATTCGTCGCTTTACATCTATACTCGAGGTACGCTTGCCAACATGATCTTGACGAGTCTGGGCGACCGTACGGAGATGGCACACAGCATTGAAGCTCGGACTCCCTTTTTGGACCATCACTTGGCTGAGTATGTCAACTATCTGCCGCCTAGTCTAAAAGTCGGGTTCCATGAGGCAAAAGGTCAGGCGGAGGGAACCGGGTCGAGTTTGTGGTGGAAAGGCCTCAGTTCGGCCCGTCAGGCGCTGATCGAGAAGTGGATTCTCAGGGAGGCTGGAAGGCCTTTTATAACGCAGGAGCTTTACGAGAGGCGGAAGCACCCTTATTCGGCCCCTTTGAAGTGGCCTTGTGGGGGCCCTCTTCATCAACTTTTCAAAAACCTAGTGACCGAGACGTCGGTGAACAACTTGGGCTTTGTGGATTGGAATGACGCAAAAGTCTGGCTTGAAAGGGCGTTTGGCGATAACGCCGACTCCAACGCATTTAGAAAGTTGGTGGTTACTGGATCTTGGGTTGTCTTGAGTCAGAGATTCGGCGTCGAAAAGGCTGTCAGAGGGCAAGTGTCAAAGTGCTTTTAGGGCTGTTAGATGCCACTTATTATTTCAAGAAGTTGGAAGTTTAAATGCCAGTCATAGGAACCAGTTGCAGTAGTGTTTATGAAGAATGGATGTGGCAGAAGTGCTTCAGGTTCAATGTTAATGAGATTTGAGAAATGTCCGATTGTAGTAATAAACTTGTTGTACAGGCGAAAGGTAATATCCAAGTGCCAACTCATCGCAAATAGGGATGAAACCGCAGACCTGTGTAGTGAGAACTGTTGCGATATGGAACACAGCTCATATCTTGTTCAAACTCATCGTCTCAAAAGGACTAGCCACCAATTTCGAAGTCGACAAGTAAATCCCTTGCGGAATACTTGGCCGAAAGGCGAAGGTTGAAAGGTTCACTAGTACCCGTTTACTCGAGGTTGAAATCAGCAGCAACCTCACGGGGATATTGACCGCCGCCGTTGATCTTGTCGCCATTGTTCTTGTCGCCATCCGAGTCAACGCAATTGCCCTTCTTGTTGCGCTTGCACTTCTTATTGTTCTTGTCGCCATTGTTCTTGTCGTCATCCGAGTCAACGCAATTGCCCTTCTTGTTGCGCTTGCACTTCTTCTTGTCCTTGTTCTTCTTGTCATCGCCGGAGTCGGAATCGATACATTTTCCCTTCTTGTTGCGCCTGCAATTCTTCTTGCTCGTGCGTTGCTCGGGGGCATGGGCAGAGTTGGCAATAGCCTGAAAAGGTTGTAAGCTTGAGTTCGGGGTATCTTCACATAGATATACAACTCACCAAGATGCCCTCGCCGCGGGCCTTTCAAATAAAATGTTAGCTATACTCTCTTAATGTGATACGAACTACATGGTTCTTCAAGACTGGTGTGATTAGAAAACGAGCTTACAGCAAGGTCGGCAGAGCGCTAAAAGCAGTTAGCCAGTGTCTCTCAAGGGCTGGATGTCCAATCAATCACCTCAACGATATCGGTCTCGAGCGGCTCAACGATGGGTGCAGCAAGAGCAGTAGCCGCAATGAAAACCAGGCCGATTGTGGCAACTTGACCGATGGTAGGAATATGCATTTTGTCGACTGGGACGTATACGAGATTTGCGTTGGAAAAGAATAGAAAGATATGGAGCTGAAGAGAGAGAAAATTGGACCTGATTGTGATCTTGAAGGTGAGAGTGATAAACAGAAAGGAGGATGTTTGATGATGGACACACGAGTGAGTATTTATAAAGAAGCATGGCTTTGACTATTAGGACTCTTGGTTCATCACATACCCCTTTCCAACGACTTGGCCGACGTGCATCTGGCTTGATCATACTTGAGCTTGGATAACGATGCAGTAGTATCATGTATGGCATGGAGGCCCCGGCCTGAGCCAAGAAAATCTCACGTCCGTCCGACTAGGCAACTCACGGAGGCTCGACGACGAGCCTAAAGGTGAGATCGATGGTAGATTGCGATGTAAAATGGGTGGAAGAATGCCCTATCAATTAATGCAACTCGGCGTTGTGAACTATTATATGATACCTATCAAGGGAAAAGATAAGACACAGGAATTGGAAGCTGAATGTTGTGAATATGCTTGGCCGGTCTTTCCACCATAGATTTTACTATTTATCTTACCTCACTGCAGCTACGCATGGCCATGCGTGAACTGTGCGAGCGCAAGTAGAATCAGACGCCTGATTACGCGTTCAAGGATGGCGCCAATATAGGAATTTTCCTAGCGCCTTTTCTACTTGGCCGTTCTCCATTCAGCTGGGGCTGGTATCAACTTTGTAGCTTATCGGAGCTCGGGTAACCGGATACAAGGACGAAGGATAGTCTAAAATATCTACACGCATTGAACTTAGATATAGCAGTGGCTTATCGCATTGGTGATCTAGCACACTTGGCTTACGTCAACAAGTGTATAAAAGGGGCCGTGGGGAATAAACATATTCCAGCAAGATATAGATGCTAGTGCGAGAGGCAGTGTCGGGAATGAATGGCTGTTTGCTACTAAAGTTAACGCATCTTAAGAGCATTGCAAAGCCCATACATACATAGAAGAGCTGAACCGAATTGTGAGCAGAAATTGTGAAGTGTCGTTTTTATTATTTATTTTTTATGGATTAGATATGCCTTTTTGGCCTTTCTCTGACAGTAGCGTAATGTCGAGGTGAAGGCTGCGCCAATGGGTTTTTGATACGGTGAAAATACCTGTCGCCAACCGTGTGAGAAAAGAAATTAAGGATGGGAAGGGAGAAAGATTGAAACAAAGTGCGCACCGACGTACCGGAGAAAGATCGTTGTTAAGTTCGTCTTTCCTGTATGTGTGAACCAGGATGGATGGACAAGGTTGGAAGGACCATTGGGAATCGAGGCTTTCACCCGACTCGGAGAGCAGCTGGTGGTTCCTGTCCCTCTACGCAAGAGCAGGCTCGGATGTGACTGCGTGGAGTAGCTAAAGCACTGCTTCTCGCCATCTTGCGTGGCTACGGACTGAGAAGATGTGTCGGTCGTCTGCCCAAGTCTGCAACCTATGGACTGCGCGGGCATCGTGGATGAATAAGTGGGTTGGCGTATGGTGTCTTTCCTTTGATGAAGCGTTGCTGTTTCTTGTGATGGTACGATTATGGGAAAATAATGTCAGGGTCATGTCTAGAGCCTCAACGGTAGGCTGGTTCATGCCAACTTGAACTTCTAGCACTAAGCATCCACGTACCCCATTACCGCTGCATACCTGCCTAATACCTATTCAAGGCCAGTTCGCAAACAGAAAGAAGAGGGAGGGAGGAAGCACCGATTTCTATGTCGCAGGAAGGTGAAAGTTGCTCAGGGAATGGCACTTTCAGTCCCTGGACTCTAAGACAGAAAGAACATTAGGGTGTAGGAGGTGTCTCGTGCCGCGATTGCCGCTTACATGACATCTGCCTATGCTGCTCCTCATGCTGAATATGTCGGCTCTTTCCACAAGCACTTGTGACTTCCGTGATCGGGATCGCCACTCGCTGTTCGTTGATAGAAGAACTTTGTGCTTATTACTCTTGTGGTGCATCTAGGCTCGTGACGCTTGCGCCTAGAGGGTTGGAAAGCTCATAAATGCGGAAGTGCAACTCAGGAGGGTGGATATGGATACTTTGTTTTAGGACAGCGGCGGCAGCCGAGAGGATGGCGTGGAGGAGGGACTGCATCGGGGGAGCGTAAGTAAACGTAAACCTGCCTGCGATGCAACAACGGGCAACGGACCGTCTTCGTCCTCCCATCTCGGCGGCGGCTCAGCGGGCGGCCAGAAGCACGCTTCTCCATATGGGGTAGACCCGCCCGGCGCGATGGAACTTGGCCGGCTCAACCGGGTAATCTGGGTTTTGACATCATTTTCTTGCAACACCACTGACTGATAATCAAATGGAAAGTGATAGGACAACGGCGTTGGATTCCTTCACCGCTTATCTCCTATCAGTTTATATTACTAGTCAGGGTATAGCCTAGATGGACGAAGTATACGCTAAACCCAATAAAGTCAGCATGTTCCAGATTTCCAACATGTTTCTGGCCACGAGTCGGTGATCGTGCTACCTTTGGGCCGCTGCAGATTGAATCAGCTAGTCCAAAATGTGTGTGGGGTCCCGGGGCCGTTTTGGGCTGCTCGACGTTTCCTTCGCTTTCTTTCCTTGCCTGGCCCAACGAAAACACCAAATACCTCGTTCACGAAGTCAACATGGCCAGAAAGCAATCGCCAGGCTCTTTGGGGCACCAAGGCCCGAGAGGCAAGGGCCGAACGGCTGTCACCGCAGCTTTGTCGGTATTTGCACTGACGGCGCTTATCAGGGGAGGAAGCTTCTTATCTACACCGCGGTTCCCATTTGGACACAGATATGTTCTTGAGCAGCGTCTTCCCACTACTGATTGGACCTGGTCTACTGTACGAATGAAGTTCCGAATTCCCAAAAGATTGGATACTGACAATATTTCCAGATCAAACCAAGTAGAACCCTGGAGTGGCACAATTGTTTCGAGGACGGGGGTTATGATTGCGCCAGACTAGATGTTGGTGTTTAAAAGCCCGCACGCAAGAGACGACTAGGGCTAACAGCTCTGCCATAGGTGCCCATGGACTGGAAAATGCCATCGGATGACCACAGGGTTGTTCTTGCAATCGCTCGAATCCGGGCCACCAATACGTCCGATTACAGAGGACCAGTCATATTCAACCCTGGTGTAAGCAACAGTATCAACATAAGCCTTCGTTTCCAGTACTGATGTTTGAGGAAAGGGCCCCGGTGGCTCAGGGATCTGGTCTTTGAGGGATCACGGGAAAATGTTACAAGAAATTGTCGGCACAAACCATGTGAGTCTGATAAACACCATTCCAGTTTTGGGAGATGATCCCTTGCAAATGCTGAGAAAACGTAGGACCTTATCAGTTTCGACCCACGGGGTGGTAAGTCCGATTGTTCATTGCTCCGAGTCCTACATTGTTTGACCGTGTGTTGGCAGTCGGCGCGTCTATACCACGAATCGAATGCTGGAACTCACCTCAACAAAGCCAGAGCTGGAATTTGCAAGATCCAGGAATCCTGGAATCTCATGAAGGTATACTCGGGGAGCTTTTCACGAGGGCCGCCGCATACTCGCAGGCTTGCGAGAAAGCCATGAAAGGATCCGGTATCTTAGAACACACTGGCACCACTCCTACTGCCAGAGATATGCTCGAGATTGTTCGTCAAACAGGCTACGACAAGCTCAAGTACTGGGGCTTCAGCTACGGCACAATCCTAGGCGGCGTCTTTGCGGCCATGTATCCCGACAAAGTGGAACGGCTGGTCAGCGATGGAAATGTTGACTACAGGGAGTGGTTCAATTCGGCCCACCTCAACTTCGTCCGCGACACAGACAAAGTTCTTTTTGCCTTTTACGACTTTTGTTCCCAGGCCGGTCCCGAAAAGTGCGCGTTTCATGGCCCCACATCAGAGGCTATCATGGAAAGATTTAGCAAGTTACTCGTTAGGCTGAAGACACGGCCTGTTATCGTGTCGGCAGACGAAGAGAAAGGGCCTGAAGTTCCAATGTTGGTGACTTACTCGAAGGTCATGCGTCTCCTCTCCTCCGCGCTGTATCAGCCACAGCATCAGTTTGAGAGCTTTTCCAAGATTATCGCAGCTCTTGAAGGAGAAGACGGACGGCCATTTTACGAGCACTACAACCCCAGCAAGCCTTCCCCGGCTCCAGAGTGCTCGTCGCAACCGATTTCGCCTTTAGAGCCACTGCCTCAAATAGTTGAAGCCACAGATGATGCTTTCCCGGTTATCATGTGTGCTGACCACCCTGCGGTGCATAATCTGACTCTCGAAGACGTACGGCGAGAAGTGGACACCATCTTAGAACTCAGTCCCGCTACGGGAGCAGTCAACGTACCGTACCAGATGACATGCAACCAGCGAACGACTCGGCCTCTTTGGCGATTTGATGGTAAGCCGTGCAAGGACTCCTGGGAAAGAGCGTGGTGTGATTTAGTTTACTAACTCAAAACCAGGACCTTTCGAGGGCAAGACAAGCCACCCCATACTGTTCATCGCCAACCAGGCAGACAACGTCACACCGCTCATAAGCGCACGAAACAACTCTGCAGGCTTCACTGGGTCAACTGTTTTGGTGCAGAAATCATACGGCGTAGGTTAACTCAAATGGCTGGAAAGGATATCAATACACTAGCCTGTCGGCATCGGATGCTAACATGTCTGTTATAAAGCATACTTCACTTGCTGCACCCTCCAAGTGCACCAGAGAGTATATACATACCTACTTTCAGAATGGTTCGCTACCGGAGGATGGAACAGAGTGCGAAGGCGACTCACAACCTTTCGGTCCGAAGATTGGAAATGAAGTTCGCCTCTACCAGAATCCATTGTTATTTTGACTCGATGCAATGTGTTGGTGCTGTTCAAGAGTTTAGAGTGCGCGCATAGAAATACCACGGGAATGACCTCGATTGATCCCAATAGGGGCCCGGTGTCTGTCAGCATAGGGAGAATAGTTTCATTCATTACTAGAATAGTGTTAAAGTCCATGATATTAGCTGCACCGAACAAGACCTGAAGTCTTCCAACGAGCGAAACTGTTGGAAATAGGCTCGCGTTTCCATCGTCTCCAGTAAGATACTTGCTGCGCAGTTGGAATCGTGGCGAGGATTTCCAGACGGGTTGTCTCGGATATTATCGGAGTGAGGCGCTGAACCCAAACGATCGTCAATACCAATGTTTTTGCCACGAGCGGAAGCGGCGGTGGATTACCCTAACTTAGCTTCGCCGGTGATCTGAGGTTACAGACTATAACGTACCGCGACGAGGCCCCCCCCCCCCCCCCCCCCCCTCTGGAGCGTGACAATGATAATATATTTGCTGCGTGGCGCCTCGAGAGCCGTTTGTGCTATGAAACCCTAAGAGGAAGACAATCATGCACTCACAGAGCTGAGGGCCTGGGTGGCCAATGTGATGGAATGAGTCCGGGAATGGAACTATTCTCAACAACGTCAACGCCACGGACCACCCCATGCGTCACGAGACGCGTGCGGGGAGGGGTATGGCGCACGGCTGGGGTAAGACCCTTTCTTATGTCGTTTGCTAATAGCTGTGCACACGACACGGAATGATTTGAGATTGGGGCTTTGAAGGGTTTGATTTTTATTGGGTTTCTGTAATAAAGTGAAGTGATTTTCAGTATCTGAACTGTACTCAGGCCCACTAATAGTCATAACTGTCCATGATGATGCGTGCCAGATAAATTACGATAATGACCTTGGTCGCCCTCTAACGCCGTACCCTTTCCGTCGAAAAAAAAAAAAAAAAACACGCAAGCTTCAGCGCCCCCCATGTGCGCATGTGTACTTAAAACAATCCCTGAGGCCTGATAATCCCCGTGGCCCCTGTATAACGCCGTTGTCGATGCATGTGTGTCCATTCGTGGGTGTTGGTAGATGTGTCGCGATGATGTGTGTGATGTGAATCAAAAGTATGTTGACCGGCTACGCCTGATTCTGCGACTCGTAGACTTGTACCGCCTTCTCGAGCGCCTCGAGGCTCGAACGGTCGCCATAAGCGTCCATCAACATCGCCGCTCTCTTGCGGTCTTCGATGGCTTGCTTCTCGGCGGCGGCGGCGTTGGCTAGGCGACGTTGAACCATGCCCTCACGGTAGGTATTCAATCCGTAGCCAACAGCTACGACGGCGACTGTGGGTGGGATCCTGTTATGCCATATCCGTCAGTCACAGCTGGTCTATTCTGGTTGTTACCCCAGACTCGGTGCTCCGAGGAGGTTTGCTCGGCTCGGATTTATGACGTACCACCTCATGGCGAGTCGGCGGGGAGTTTGCAGGAAGTAGCTTGAGGGCATGTGAGTGGAAAAGCTCCGTGAGGCTTCTCGGAACATTATATATGACTGCGTTTGAATAAGAGTCGGGGGTGAAATTGGTATTTGTATCTCGCCTTCTTTTGTGGGTTGAAACGCAAGGGATAAATCGATCTCTCGGGCTAAGAAGAGGCGTTGGGGAGGAGGCGGCGGCAGCAGCAATGTATTCATATAACGCCCTCTCTCGACCCCAACAGGTTCCCCTCCCCCAAGGGGCTAGACATAACACAGCCATCTCCAAGCTCGAGGAAGACTGACCATTAAGCGTGTACAATCCCCGCAGGGGGGCAAAGCGGGAGTCGCGGCCGCAGGTTAGTGTAACACCAACATGGCACCACGCTCAGCAACAGACCCAACTAGGCATGGCGCCGCCATCGTTCCAGAGTGTCGATTGTGGGGTGATGTCGACCGATATTGCGGGGTGCTATCGGCATAGCCCGGGTGCAGTAACGTGACAACGCTGGAGCGGACGGAACCTTGCTTGAGTTGTGTTCCAGCGCTGGAGGAGTTCTCGGTCTTTCGCGCTTAGCGCTGGGAGGCATCTTGGAAGGCTCGTACACTATTACAAGTTGGGATAGGCTGGATAGGCTTGAACGGTTGAGGGGCCACTTGTTTGTACATCGGGGGCATCTCCCACGTTCTGTGATGACCCTAGTAGGGACCCCTTGAGCACAGTCCGCAGGCTCTGTTTTAGACTTTTCTCAGAGTTGGCCTTTTGAGTGGCGCGTCGCCAATTCTCAACCTTTGGCCAGTAGTTTTTGTTTTCACTATGTCTGGTGCAACTATGACATACCCCATAGCTACGTTTAGCTGGAGTCGCCGAAAATGTTTGGGTCTTTGCAGCGAGATATCCCCTCCCGTCCTGGTGCTTGCTCATACCTATTATCTTTTCAGTCCCCATTACAATGTCCGATGTTATCGTGACCCCAGTCACGAAGCGGTAACTGATTATCGTGGACAATGAAAATGCCGATTCCACCCGCGAAAAACTGCAGACTCCACCCAGACCTTGTCCCGAGTGCTCGTCGCATAGCCGAGAACCCTCGTTGATGTCATCTCCAGTCCTTGTTTGTTTCTCCTGTCTCATTTCCTCGTCTGTTACGAGTCGTATCCTTGCAACGAACTTTCTGTTGGCAAGCTGATTACCATGTACATTTCTTGGGCTAGATCTCCACTCCAACTTGGACTTTCGCCTGGCGTATTTATTTTAATTTTAATTCTTAGGTTGTGTCTGCACGTCATTGTTTAGGTTCAGCTGCTGCAACTCAGAATCTCGGGGAGTTATCCAATCATGATAGCTGGCAGTTCGTCGTAACATTTTGACAAGCTGTCAAATTCAACTCAGCCGCTATAAAAACTTGCCGTTTCGTTAGCTATGCAGTACAGCCATGGTTTGTTGCGTACATGACGAAGCTCCAGCTCGTGGGAAGTCCAAATTTCGGATATGTCGACTTGTTGGACCAATTTTTTCAACAGTCACGGTAATCGCTCAGGATGATGGCTTTCTACGAAAATAAGAATATTATTGGATTGTACTTTGTATCATCATTGAAGCTTAGCAAGTTGTTTGCAAAATCTCAGAGTTGCACTCGTGAACGACCACTCGTATACTGACTTAGTATCTCTTAAGCCTCTGAAACCTGGTGACTTTAGACCCGTCTACGAGCCCATGATGCCAAGCCATTGAAGCCAAATCAACGAAAGCGTCAGTAGCAGCAGAGACATTGGAGAAGACAAAGCCAATGGTGCCAGTGGTGAGGACGAATCGTTGAATGACACCTGTGACGTAAATAACGCTGCAGCACTTAAGGTTACTGACGCTATTTTTCTTTTTAGCAATACTCAAGATTTTAATGCCAGCCTATGTTAGCAAGAACTATAAGTCTGCCTGCTGCGATGTTGGAAGTCAAGGGGTGCAGTGAAGTGGACTATTTATATACCACAAAAAGGGGTCTCTTCGGAGTTGTGTAAACCTGAAGATTGACTTTCTACAGCTAAGTCATCATTTTTTTATAGCTATATGCTTGACCAGCAATGCGGGCTATTCTGACAGTTGTTCAAGCTATGACTACAATGTTCACAAACTGACACGAGCGAGATCTGTCATTTGTGGTGTGCTTAGGACTTGGGCAAGGCTTCGAGCAAGTATTTTCATATATCTTTATTACTTTCCCACTTCGAACTGAACCTGTCACCGAATCGGTTTGGATGTATGAGTCTAGTTGTATTGTACCTCGATAGGCTATGTGCGGCCACTGTGCTTCCAAGCAGGGCTACGTATTGCCTCGAACTGACTTGGAATGAAAATCAACTTTACATGAATCGGTGCGATTCACTGAGTTCAGTGATGATACTGAAGAGGCTGTGGCTAGTGAATGGGAAGTCACTTGGAACTGTCACTAGAATGTTGCGAGTAGGTTCGAGTATATAAATGGCAACGTATATCCTGTAAAGGCAAAACTTGGAGAACCGTCATCAATCAGCTAGAGCCAAGGTCCCCAAAAAACAATCTCAAGGCTGTCAGTAAACCCTGGAGCAAAACATCACGGAACGGCTACGGCATAACATACAATCCAAGGACTTACGCCAGCAACCTCGAGCCACTCGACAGCAACCCACAAGTTAAACTTGCTCGTAATTGCCGCTACAACGAAAGATAAAAAAACAAAGACAAACTTGCAATGTGCATCGTTATCAGTAAACGCCTCATGTGCGAACGATGTGGCGCGTGGTATCGCACCACGGAGGAAAAGCTGAGATGCTCTACGGGGCCCTGCCTCACTGTTACTTGCACCATCGATGGAGGAAGCGTTGTGCAAGGCTTTTGCCATAGTCCTTGCAATGACTAAATGAAGAAGAAGGACAGTCGACTTCTCTCAAAGTTCATTTCAGTCTCGAAATCCTCATTGAAGTCTGGAACCATCAAAGAAAGAGGCTATTTTTCCAATGGGCGGGTATTCGCTGGCAGGTGGTATTGAAGTAGAAGACAGAATGAACGCAAATCATACTCCTGTAGATGAGTTTACCTCCTGAGAGTAGTAAGAAAGAAAGAAACATTGACTAGCAGCAAACAGTGTTCCAAAACCGTGCGTGTTTCAATCCGATGAAGACATCCAATGGACCACTTACATTATGGCGGTAAACAAACCTAGTCTGCTCGGCGATCATAATGGCGAAGGCCGAACGGAGCCAGCTGCGCCAAGTACAACTCCGTTGAGTTTAGGTGCAATGTACTGCACAATCCGGGGTAAATTGAGCCTGTGATTTAGCCGTGAGGGGTTCCAGCAAAAACGTGACCCTCTGCCAGTCACTGAGCCATATAAAGGTCCCAAGATTGAAGTGTGAAGATTTTTGAAAGCTTTCACTGTTATACTAAGATTCCGTTAATTACATTACATCTAATTGCCCGGCATGAAGTATATTTCCGTCTTGTTGGCCTCTGTCATAGTTCTATTTGCCTGTAAGTGTTTAAGTGTGGAGCTTTGGAAACGGATTTGTAACCCAGCTTACCAGCCTGCTAGCGTTTGCAAGTTGCCTTGTAAACCCAATCATTCCAGGGTTCAATCCTGATCCGTCGGTCATCAGGGTGGACGAGGACTTTTTCTTAGCGACCAGTACATTTGAGTACTTTCCTGGTGTCCCTGTTTATCACTCAAAAGACCTGTAATGTCAAAATACCATACAGCTGTCCTTGCTATGCGGATTTGCTAATTGAACAAAGTGTGAAATGGGAAAATATCGGCCATGCGCTTACTCGACCTTCTCAGCTGAACTTGCGCGGCACTGCTCCAAGCGGCGGCATCTTTGCACCAACATTGAGACACCACGATGGCATCTTCTACTTGATTGACACTGCATATGATATTATCAACCCCTCTGACAACGTAAGCGGCTACCAAAAAGCTCCAAGATGGGCATTTTCGTTTTGCTTAGTTGACACCGTCTTCCAAAACAGGCCACCAGACTACCTCGGTCATTCTATGTGACGACCAGAGATATTTTTGATGAGACCAGTTGGAGCGAGCCTACCTATGTAGATCAATGGGGATTTGACCCTGATCTCTTTTTCGATGACGACGGCAAAGTTTACCTCACGACAACGTTTCCGGAGTTCGTGAACAATGGTAACTTTGCCAACTGGATCACCGAGATCGATATCAAGACGGGCAACTCGTTGAGCAACTCTCGACTTTTCCATACCACGACTGTACCGCCTGAACTTGGTTCTCCACTGGTGAGTCTGTCTTGGTGGTACACCTGGATTTCATTCGAGTGCAGTCACAGGAAACAACTGACAAGTGTAAATCAAGACCGAGGGAAGCCACATATACAAATTCAACGGAACGTACTACTTGCTTACCGCCGACTCGGGAACCGAAGCCAACCACAAGGCGAACGTGTATAGATCTAAAGCCTTGGATGGGCCTTGGGAGGGTAACCCGCACAACCCCGTCTTGTGGAACGGAAAAGACATGTCTCTCCCCGTCCTCGCAACTGGTCACGCAGACATCTTCGATGACACTGAAGGCAACTGGTGGGCAGTCTTTCTCGCCATTCGACCACAGAACCCAAAGAACAGTAGCGGCCTACCTCAACTTGGCCGTGAGACATTCTTGTGTCCCGTGACGTGGGACGAAAATGGATGGCCGATTTTCAATGAAGGTGAACCAATCACCGAGCACATGCCAAGTGTCTTATATGACCTTGAAAGGCCTCTGACTTGGCGGGACGACTTTGATGGCGGACTAGTAGACAAATCGTATTACTACCTGCGGACGCCATACAAGGACTTCAAAGATTTCGAGTCTAACCCCGGAAAGCTTCGTATTAGAGGAAATGTTTACACGCTCAGCGACAGAGAAACCCCTGCGGCACTGCTCCGAAAGCAGACCGACATCAACACCACCTTCAGCACTGAAATCAGCGCGTTCAGTCCAGACTCTTGGAGACAGGAGGCCGGTGCTAGTGTATACCTTAGCATCCACTACCACAACGAGGTCGCCATTGGGTACTCAAATGAGACCGGAAAGAGATGTATTGTCACTCACACCAGGACTGGTCCCGACGCAACACTCAATACTACCTACGTCGAGGATGAGGAAGTTGGCAATGGTGTTCCTGTGAAACTGTTCATTGAGGCAAAAGACTTGGGCTACCGACTTGGATACTCGGCGGGCGGCAAAGAACCACGGTGGCTTGCTAGCATTGAAAATCGCTGGTTGCAGTCATACTTGGAAGGCTGGCAGCAGAACTTTGTTGGGACGCACTTTGCCATCTACAACACAGGCGCAAAGCTTCCAACCCTAAATTCGGCTGTACGTGCAAATCCTTTTTTTTTTTTTTTTTTTTTTTTTTTTTTTTTGTAAAGTGAAGTAAAAGCTGACACTGCTTGTAGGACTTTGAATACATCCAGACGGAACTTAACTAGGTTTTGGCAACATGGCTACTTTCTTTTGCCCATGATCGCAATTTCAAGGGAAAGTTAATTAGCACCCTCGAGGGACTTGTGAGACCATAGTCCTGTTAAAAGTGGAACTAGCATTGTTCTCTCTAACGTTTGCCATCAGCTTGATATTGCAGTTCGCTGTCTCTCTATAGCAATATATTCGGAATTCCGCAGCTCCTGTGTTCAAAGCTCTCTTGAGGCTCACCTAGTGGCGCTGCTTTAAGGGTGAGCTAGGGTGAAAAGTGTCCGGGATGCGTTGGAAGACTGGAGACTGGCAACCATGATTGAGGCGGTGTAAGAGATTGCAGGTTCCCACCCAATGACTCGGTCCAAGATCACGGATCCTTCACGGGCAACCACAACTCCCATCGGAGATCTTTCCCGCCCACTCACGTGTTCTCACGAGCCTGGACCAAACACACCCGTGAGACTATCCCGGATTTCCGGGCCGGACTCCAAGCCAAGTCGACTTGGGGCAGACCACCACCAGAAGATCAATCCTCATTTGTAGTGACAACGACCCTCTAGATACAAATCTACTCGATTATTCGAGTAGCCGCCACGTCTACATTCGTCCAGCATCCTAGACCAAATTGCTGGCTTCAACGCCGGGCCAGGTGGCCAAGGCATACGTATCTTTTTCATCTTTTAAGATGCGTGGTTGTGACGCGAAAGGTGCACAAAGCGACCAGGGAGCTGTTAAACCGGATCAGAGGCATCAACCATCCAGACGAGGAAGATATCTTCCTGTTGGCATATAGGTGATGCAGCCAGAGGCAGTAGGTCATATAACACACCGCCTACCAGCAGAATCCCTTACCCTTACCTATACGCAAGGGTGCTACTACACTTATGCACCTACTTTACCTTGTTAACTAGTTAACTATTAATAACTATAAATTTAACTACCTTTTCTTAACCTTTGTAATATTATAAGATAAAGATCCTTATTAATTAACTAGTAAAAACTAATATTAATTAATAGTTAATTATTACTAATAACTAGTAATTAATAAGGCTTACTATTATAGGAGTTTACTTAGCCTACTATAACCTAGTAGACTACTAACTAAGT